AGGCCAAGGGAGAGGAGGATGAGGAGGAGGAGGAGGAGCAGGAGGAGGAGGAGGAGGAGGAGGAGAAGAAGGCGGAGGAGGAGTAGGAGGAGCAGGAGGAGGAGGAGGAGGGAGAAGGATGATGAGGAGGAGGAGACGTAACAAGCTTTTCGCACCCATGCTCCCAAGCGCGAAGGTGACGTAAAAAGCTCATCACACGTTGGCTCCCAAGAGCGAGCGGCAACGTAAATATCTCTGAACCCCAAGGCTCCCAACAGATAGTGGTGACGTAACAACTTCTTCCCACCAAGGCTCCCAAGAGCGAACGGTGACGTGACAAACTCGTGCACACAAAGGTTCCCAAGAGCGAACGGTGACGTACACAATTCTCAACACCAAGGTTCCCAAGAGCGAGCGGCAACGTAAAGATCTCGGTACACCAAGGCTCCCAAGAGCGAGCGGTGACGTAACAAGTTCTTACCACCAAGGCTCCCAAGAGCGAAGGGTGGCATGAGCCCTCTCGGGCAAGTTCCTGAGGCGCTCTTTCCGTTTCCGTACCGGCCCAGGTCCAATTGCCATTCCCATGGCCTATTTCTTCGTATTTGCTCTGGTGAACTGGCCAGAGGGCCCACGCGGGCCCCAAAACGGCTTCAGAGGGCCCCAAGACGACTCCAAAAGAGCTTCAGATGGCCTCCAGACGGTCCAAGAGAGTCTCGAGACTGCTCCTGAGGCCCTCAAGAGGGCCCCCGAGAGGGCCTGAGGAGGCCAAAAACATGTATGGTCCTAGGGTTTTTGCAGGTTTTTCGGGTTCTCTCCTTTTCAGTCCCAGAAGGGCCCCAGACGGCCCAAGAGGCCCCAAAGCTCGCTCCAAGACTGCCCCATAGGCGCCCCAATGGAGCCCAGAATTTGTCCAAGAGGGCCCCTAGAAGGGCCCAAGACAACCCAAGAGGCCCCAAAGATCGTCCCGAGACGGCCCGGGAGGCCCCTCAAAGGGGCCGAAAACGGTCCAAGAGGGCCCCCAGGCGGCCCAAGAGGGCCCCAAGACGGCCCAGGAGGGCTCCAGAGGAGCCCAATGAGGGCCCCAAGAGGCTCCCAAACGTGCCCGAAGAGGCGGTATGGGGTCCGGGCTGCTTGGGTGTAGGACTGGGCTGGTCCAAAGACGGCCCAAGAGTCCCAGAACGTGTTTTATCGCGCTCTAGTGCCTTCCCAAGATACCAACACGCCCTGGTTCCCCCTGAAGAGGCCTCCTGCGGTTTCTAGATAGCCCTGGGGGGCGCTCAATATGCCACCAAGATGCCCCAAGAGAGCCTCCAGACGGGGAGACAGAGAGAAAGAACGGGCAAGCCAGCGACATCTCGCGCTCTGAAAGTAAATGCTCTTTCCGCCCCCGTGCCAAGCACGTCTCATGGCCTTCGGCCCATCCCGCCACCGTGCTTGGGTTGTGGGTATGAAGTTTATTTAATCTTCGTTGGGATCTCGTGGGATGCTTCTCGGGGGCCTCTTGAAGGCAATTTGGATGCCTTCTGGGGGCCGTTTGGGGGCCTCCTGGGGGCCTCTTTTGGGCCTCTTGGGGGCCTCTTGGGGCCTCTTGGGGGTCTCTTGGGGCCTCCTGGGCGCCTCTCGGGACCTCCTGGGAGCCTCTCATGGCGGAAGGCCTAGATTTTCGGTTCGTGTTCCATTGTGGGGCCCTTTTCGGGGCCGTCTTGGGGTCCTGTTGGGCCCTTTTGGGCGCCTCTTGGGCCGTCTTGGGGCCCTCTTGGGCCGTCTTGGGGCGGTTTTGGACGCCTCTTGGGCCGTCTTTGTGCGTTCTTGTGGGCCTGTAAGGCCGTCTGGGAGCGTCGGGAAGCCGAAAAGACGAGAACGCCCAAATCAGACGAAAACCTGCGGACAATCGATGATTTGGGGCTCTTGGGGCTCTCTTGGGGGGGCCTCTTGGAGGCCTCGTGGGTGTCCTGGGGGCCTCTTGTGCCGTCATGGGCCCATGTAAGGCGTCTTGGGCCGATCTGTCGGCGTCTCGTGATTCTCTTGGACCGTCTTGGAGGTCTCTCGGGGCTCTCTTGGCCCGTCTTGGAGCCCCCGCGTGCCCGAAGAAGTCGCGCGACGGGCCGCGGGAAGCCCCCCCAGGGGGCACGCGCCGAGCCGAGAGATGTGGCGATTCGGGCTCCGGGGCCCTTAGAAGAGTCCTCTGGGGCTGAGGACTGAGGCTCCTGGGGATGAGGCCAAGGACCTAAGGACATTCCCACTCCGTGCCCAGAGGCACAGTGGCGTGTGTATATATATATATATATATGTATATATACACACATATATATATATATATATACACAGAGAGAGAGAGAGAGAACAGCAAACATTACCCCGGCAAAGCAACCTAACATCGATGTGTAGGAGCATATCTGTAAGCATTCCCCTTAAGATTCGGATGAGAATCCAGTTGTAGAATTCTGTTGTTCTCGCAGTCGTAGTCGCATTCGCGATGACAGTCGCAGTGGCAACGGCAGTCGCAGTCACAGCCTCAGCCTCAGCCTGCCTCAGCCTCAGCCTCAGCCTGCCTCAGCCTCAGCCTGCCTCAGCCTCAGCCTCAGCCTGCTTCAGCCTCAGCATCAGTCTGCCTTCAGCCTCGGCCTCAGCCTCAGCCTGCCTCAGCCTCAGCCTGCATCAGCCTCAGCCTCAGCCTCAGCCTGCCTCAGCATCAGCCTGCCTCAGCCTCAGCCTCAGCCTGCCTCAGCCTCAGCCTCAGCCTGCTTCAGCCTCAGCCTCAGTCTGCCTTCAGCCTCGGCCTCAGCCTCAGCCTGCCTCAGCCTCAGCCTGCATCAGCCTCAGCCTCAGCCTCAGCCTGCCTCAGCATCAGCCTGCCTCAGCCTCAGCCTCAGCCTGCCTCAGCCTCAGCCTCAGCCTGCTTCAGCCTCAGCCTCAGTCTGCCTTCAGCCTCGGCCTCGGCCTCAGCCTGCCTCAGCCTCAGCCTGCCTCAGCCTCAGCCTCAGCCTGCCTCAGCCTCAGCCTCAGCCTGCTTCAGCCTCAGCCTCAGTCTGCCTTCAGCCTCGGCCTCAGCCTCAGCCTGCCTCAGCCTCAGCCTGCATCAGCCTCAGCCTTAGCCTCAGCCTGCAGCCTCAGCCTCAGCCTCAGCCTCAGCCTGCCTCAGCCTCAGCCTCAGCCTGCCTCAGCCTCAGCCTCAGCCTGCTTCAGCCTCAGCCTCAGTCTGCCTTCAGCCTCGGCCTCAGCCTCAGCTGCCTCAGCCTCAGCCTGCATCAGCCTCAGCCTCAGCCTCAGCCTGCCTCAGCATCAGCCTGCCTCAGCCTCAGCCTCAGCCTCAGCCTCAGCCTGCAGCCTCAGCCTCAGCCTGCTTCAGCCTCAGCCTCAGTCTGCCTTCAGCCTCGGCCTCAGCCTCAGCCTGCCTCAGCCTCAGCCTGCATCAGCCTCAGCCTCAGCCTCAGCCTGCCTCAGCATCAGCCAGCCTCAGCATCAGCCTGCCTCAGCCTCAGCCTCAGCCTGCCTCTGCCTCAGCCTCAGCCTGCTTCAGCCTCAGCCTCAGTCTGCCTTCAGCCTCGGCCTCAGCCTCAGCCTGCCTCAGCCTCAGCCTGCATCAGCCTCAGCCTCAGCCTCAGCCTGCCTCAGCATCAGCCTGCCTCAGCCTCAGCCTCAGCCTGCCTCAGCCTCAGCCTCAGCCTGCTTCAGCCTCAGCCTCAGCCTGCCTTCAGCCTCGGCCTCCGCCTCAGCCTGCCTCAGCCTCAGCCTGCATCAGCCTCAGCCTCAGCCTCAGCCTCAGCCTCAGCCTCAGCCTGCCTCAGCATCAGCCTGCCTCAGCCTCAGCCTCAGCCTGCCTCAGCCTCAGCCTCAGCCTCAGCCTCAGCCTGCTTCAGCCAAAGCCTCAGTCTGCCTTGAGCCTTGGCCTCAGCCTCAGCCTCAGCCTGTCAGCCTCAGCCTGCCTCAGCCTCAGCCTGCATCAGCCTCAGCCTCAGCCTCAGCCTGCCTCAGCATCAGCCTGCCTCAGCCTCAGCCTGCCTCTGCCTCAGCCTCAGCCTCAGCCTGCTTCAGCCTCAGCCTCAGTCTGCCTTCAGCCTCGGCCTCAGCCTCAGCCTGCCTCAGCCTCAGCCTGCCTCAGCCTCAGCCTCAGCCTGCCTCAGCATTCAAAATGTAGCCCGGGAATGGAATTCTGGGAACTCGAAGAACACGAAGTGGCCTACAGTTGGCTCCGGGCATTCAAAATCATGCCCAGGAATGAAATTCTGGGAACTCGAAGATCACGAAGTGGCCTACAGTTGGCTCGGGGCATCCAAAATGTGGCCCGGGAATGGAGTTCTGGGAAGTCGAAGAACACGAAGTGGCCTACAGTTGGCTCCGGGCATCCAAAATGTGGCCCGGGAATGAAGTTCTGGGAAGTAGAAGAACACGAAGTGGCCTACAGTTGGTTCCGGGCATCCAACATGTGGCCCGGGAATGGAGTTCTGGGAAGTCGAAGAGCACGAAGTGGCGTACAGTTGGCTCCGGGCATTCAGAATGTGGCCCGGGAATGGAGTTCTGGGAAATCGAAAAGCACGAAGTGTGTGACTGTATGCGAAAAACGATCCCCCCCGGCAAACCCCAACGGCCCCCCAACGGCTGCCCAGACCCCCCTGTGGAGCAATGTGCTGCTTTCTTTTTAGCCCATTAGAAACCTATCAGTCTTCGATGTTAGGTAAATATTGAAAGCACTGCCCTCGATTGCCCGCCTCCGAGGTCGCAAACCTTGACGAGGTAGATCGCGAACGGCGCAGATCTGTCCAGGCTGCGACTCCCGCGTGCTCTGCTGACCGAAAGGTTGTTAGACGAGAGCGCGGCAGAATTCGTGATCTCAGCGATGTGAGTTAATCTTGAGACCGCCAGCCCTCGACGTAAATATGTGTGTGTATATATATATATACGCTTGCGGTAAATAAGTCGGGGGTGGGAGATCAGGGGTGCGGAGAAGGCATGGCCGTTAAGAGATTGCATGGCAGTCGCTGTTGTGGCTCAGTCTCTTGAGGCTTGTCGCCCTGCGGGGCATGTCTGACCCTGGCTCCGGGCCACCGCCGCCCGCCTGGGAGCCCATCCAGGAGGCGGTCGCCTCTCCTCCTGGGCCGCCGCCTGGCTGGCCCCCGCGGCCCCCTGGGCGCTACTGCGGGTGGTGCTCGGGCCAGCTGGGGCCCAACGAGTCGTTGGCCCTGGCCCTGAACGGCCAGCTCTGGGAGGTGTGCGAGCTGTGCTACCTCCTGGCGCTGGCGCGCCAGCACGCCTGGCGGGCCCGGCTGACGCCGGGCGAGCGCGCGGTGCTGCTGGAGCAGGCGCGCCACCTGACGGCCCTCCTGGCGGACGAAGGCGTCCGAGATGCCGCCCAAAGCTAAGGCCAAGGCGAAGGGCAAGGCCAAGGCGGCAGCTCGGGGCCTTGGCGTCGCGCGGGGCGGAGGACGGGCCCGCGGGCGCGGCCGCGGCGGTGGCCGAGGCGCAGCTGCGGCGGGCCGCGGGCGCGGCCACGCCCAAGGGGGCGCGGGGGCCGCGGGAGGTGGCCCCGGTGCGGGACCTCCTGCGCTGCCCCCCCTAGGCGCGGCTGCTCCCCCTGGCGGCGGAGGGGCTGCGCTGCTGCCTGGTGCCCCCCCGCTGGAGATCGCGGCTGGAGCGCTGCCAGGCCCGCCCGCCGCCGCGCCTGGAGGCGCGCCGCCCGGCGCCGCGGCTGGGGTCGGCGCGGCCCTGGTAGGGGCCTTGGCCGCGCTTCCCGCTCCAGGAGGGGGGCCGCTGCCCGGCGCGCCGCCGGCGCCTGGGCCCCTCGCGCTGCCAGGGGCGGCTGCTGCTGGCGCTGGGGGCGGCGTCGCGGCGGCCGCTGCAGTGCCGGCGCCAGTCGGCGGAGGCGCCGTGGCGCTGGAGCGTCTGGTGGACGGGCCCTGGATGGGCTCGCCGGCCTTGCAGCACGGGGCCTTCACCGCGGGGACTCTGCTGCAGACGCCCACGCCCGACCCGACGGGCCAGGTGGACGGCGCGGCGCTCTTCGAGGTCTTGGAGGCGGGCGTGCCGGGCCCAGACGGGGCCTACCTCTCCGTGAACTTCCGGGGCGCCTCGCTCCCGGCCCGCGCCCTGGAGCTGGACCTGAGCTTCCCCGCCCCAGGCGCCGGGCAGCCAGGGGTCCTGCACCTCTGCGCGGGCGGCGCCACTGCCTGCAGGGCCCCGCGGCTGGTCGGGCGCGGCGAGCGGCACGCCGACTGGCTTCGCCTGAGGTCGGCTCGGAGCCTGGTCGAGCCCTGGGTTAGGCCGACTTTCTGGCCGCCAGGCGGCGGTGGGGCCGGGGGCGGCGCCGCCGCTGCGCCCGCGCGGGGCCGCCTCGCGGGGGCTGCGGCTGGGTTCGCGGCGGCTGCGGCTGCACTGGAGGCGGCTGGCTCGGCAGCTCGCCCGCTGGCGGTCCGCCGGCGCCGTCGCGAGCAGTCGCGAAGCGACAGCCAGGAGCGGGCTGGCGGTGACCAGCTGGATTTTCGCGACGCCCCCTCTCGCGGCAACGCCATGCAGGCGGTGGCCGATGGGCGCCCAGGCATGCTGCACGACGAAGCGATTGCCTTGATCGCGCGTGTCATGGGCCTGCGGGAGGGGGCGGACGGGCAGAGGGTTCGCCATCGCATCAGGGGCCACCTCCATGCCGTGGTGTTCGGCCACCACCCGATTCACACGGTCGGGGAGCGGACGGTGCGCGAGCTCCAGACGCTGGCGGCAGCGATGGACCTCCTCGAGGACGGGTCGCTGGCGTCGGTCGCGGACACGCTGATGCAGCGGTTCAAGGCGCTGGAGATGGCGCTGAACGACGGCAACTGGTACATCGCCAACGAGCTGGAGGTGGTCGAGGGGATCCGCCCGACGCTCGCCTCCCGCGACGAGCAGGAGTCGGCGCGGAGGTCGGCGATGCTGCGGCGGCGGCTGGAGGAGGTCCGCGCCAGAGGGGCAGCCCCCCGCCGCTGACCCGAGGATGCGGCGGCTGCGGAGCCGCCCCGAGCGCCCTCGCCAGGGCGGAGCCGCGGGCGCGGGGGCGACCCCGTTCGCCGCGGGCGGCCCTTCATGGCGACGAGGCGTGGCGCTGCCCGCTCTGGAGGAGCTGCGGCGGCCGCGGGCCAGGCTGCCAGCGGGCTGGAGGATCCCGCAGCCGCTCGCGAGACCTCGAGGCCCCCCGCCCGAGTGCCCTCCGACGCCGGGGGGCGGCCTCCCTCGCCGCTGCCGCCCAGGACGGCCCGCGGGGACAGCAACCGCCCTGGCGCTGCGGCGGCGCCGGGCCGCGTGGCGCTGCTGGGCGCCCCCGAAGTCCGCGCCTTCCGCCGGGGCCAGCCAGCAGCGCAGGTCGGCGGAGAGGCCCCCCAGGGGCGCGGCGGCAGCCCGAAGGGCAAGGGCAAGCACCGCGGGCGCCGGGCGCCGAGAGGAGGGCTGCCTGGCCGCGGCAGGCCGGCGCCCTGGAAGGGCCGCGGCAAGGGCCGCTAGCATTGGAGGCTCGGGCGCGCTCAGCTGATGATGCACGTGGAGATGCGGGCCCTCTGGGCCCAACTGGAGCTCGTGCTGACCGCATGGGCGAGCCAGGGCCGCCAACTGACTCGCTGGCAGCAGGCCAGGAGGCGGCGCGCGCGGAGGCAGCGTGGCCAGACGCTGGCGCCCCCCTGGCGGAGCTCTTCCGCAGGTGGCAGGAGAAGGCTGGGGCGGCTGCCGAGTCCTTCCGCCGGCCGCTAGATGCGGGCCCGATCCTCGAGGAGCTGATGCGGGAGTTTCCAGGGTCGCTTGGGGTCTACGTGGACAGGTTTATGCACAGCGGGCATCGGCCAACTAGACGAGGGCGGCTGCAGCGTGACCTGCTGCCGCTACCCTGTCCTGATCTCGAAGCATCGGACTTCACCGTGGAGGAGAAGATTGTCCCACGCGACCTGAGCTCGCTGCAGTCTCGCTTGAGGGTGATCGTGATGGCTATGAACTGGGAGACTGGCTACCGTCACCTGAAGTGGGCAGACGTTTGCGGGCCGGAGCCGAACGCAGCCCAGCGCTCGGCCCTCCTCGGGATTGCGCGGCGCATCTACTCGAGCGTTGCGCCCGAGCCCGCCATGGCCGAGACCCTCGACTGGTCCGAGAAGCTGAAGGACCGGGCCATCGCGCACGACGGCTCGGAGATCTCGACGCCGAGCAAGATCACGCTGGAGCAGATCGTGGGCGGCCTGCCGCCTGTGGGGGTAGCCGCCTCCATCGAGGCCGCGGACCTCGCCACGGGCTTCGTGCGGGCGGCGCTGCTGGACCCCTCCCTGGTCCTCCTGCCGCCGGCTCAGAGGCGCCCTGCGCCGACCTCGACGCGCGTCTGGGCGACGGCGCAGGAGTGGGAGCAGGTGGTGAGTGCCCTGTTTGCACGCGGGATGGTTGGCCCGATCGACGAGGACGAGATCGCGACCAGAGACGGGGTCCCCTTGATCAACGGGGCCTTCGGCGTGGCGAAGGTGCACGACGCGCCAGTCCGCTGCGGCGATGGCGAGGAGCGGCCCGTCCTTCGGCTCATCGTCAACCTGATCCCCGCGAACGCATGCCAGCGCGCCATCGCGGGGGACACCCCCGCCATGCCGACGATGGGGCAGTTGAACGGGCTGGCGCTGGCTCCAGGGGAGCAGCTGCTCTGGAGCGGGGCGGGCCGCAAGGCGTCCTTCTACGTCTTCAGGGCGCCCCCCGCCTGGTGGCCCTACACGGCGCTGGGACCGCCGGTGCCGCGGCGGCTGGTGGGCGGCAGCGGCGACGGGCTGACCCGCGTCGCGCTGAGGGTAATCGGCATGGGCTGGGTCAGCGCGGTCGGGGTCACGACGCACCTCCACCGCAACATGCTGAGGCGGTCGGCCCTGGTCCCCCGCGGACTGCCGCCTGCGGCCGAGGTGGCGCGCACCCGCCGCCTGCTTGCGGAGGCCCAGGCCGACGGCATCGCGATGTTGTTCATCTGCATCGACAACCTCGAGATCGCGGAGATCGTATCGAGTGAGGAGGCCGTCAAGCTGAAGGGGACCATCCCCGAGCTACTGAGCCGGGCGTCGGCCTGCTACGAGGAGGCTAAGTCTCCGGGATCGCCGGGGAAGGATGTCCACCGCGCCCAGCAGGTGTCCACGCTGGGGGGCCTCGTGGATGGCGCGGCTGGCGCGCGGCGGCCGCCGCTGGGCCACGCCACGGAGCTCACGGGCCTAACGTTGTGGTTCCTAGCGAAGAAGCGCCCGAGCAAGCGCCTGGCGCAGATCCTGCTGGGGCGCTGGGTTCGCGTGCAGTGCTACCGGAGGCCGCTCGCCGCCGCCTGCGTGAATGCTTGGAAGTGGCTGGCGTCGGGCTGCTCGGGCGGTCTCGTCACTGCGGGCGTCGCCGAGGACCCGCCGATGGCGGCCGCGCTCGCGCCGCTCAGCGTGGCGGACATGCGGCTGACCGTCGACCACCTCGCGACGGCGTCCGACGCCTCTGAGGCCGCGGGGGCAATCGTCTACTCCCAGGGGCTGTCGGACATGGGCCGTGCCCTTGGGGCTAGAGGCCCGCGGGCGCTTAACCCCGCCTGCGAGGAGGGCGTCGCTCTGATCTCGGTCTTCTTTGGGATCGACGGGGCGCGCCGGGCCTTCGAGGTTGACGCCGAGGCTGTGCGGGTGGCTCGACGAGCGTACCCCAGCGCCGTGCACCTGGGAGACGTCGCGGCCGCAGACCCTGCGAATCTGGCACGCCTCCTGCGGGACCACGGCCGCATCACGAAGGTGCTCGTGATCGGGGGCTTCCCATGCCAGGGCTTCACGGTGCTGAACGTGGCCCGTGAGGGGGCGCGGACCCGCGGTCGCAGCTGGCGGGTCACATGTGGAGGCTCATCGAGGGGCTGAGGCGCGAGCTGCCCGAGGCCACGGTGGACTTCCTCGGGGAGAACGTGGCGTCCATGGCGGAGGACGAGGTCCTGGCCTTGAACAAGATGTTCGGCCGGGTGCCGGTGTCCCTCAACGCCGCGGACCTGGGCTGGGTCCGCCGCCCGCGGCTGCACTGGCTGTCGTGGGACCTGCTGCCCTCCTTCGAGATGACGGCCGAGATGAAGGCGACGGCGGATGGTGCCCGGCCGCGGCGCCCGCGGGCCTGCCGGGCGCGCCCGGTGACGGAGCTGCCGCCTGTCTCGGAGTGGCTGCCGCGCAGGGACACCTGGCCCGGGGCCGCCGAGGACGGCCGCCTGCCGACCTTCGTGCGCTGGACGCCTCGGAGCTCGCCTCGGCCGCGGCCCGCGGGGCTCTGCCCGTGCACGGGGAAGGAGGTGGCGCGCTGGACAGCAGCGGGCTACGCAGCCCCGCCCTACCAGTTCGCAGCCCTGCCCTACCAGTTCCGGGACTGCTTCTGCCTGCACTGGGCGGACTGGCGCAAGGAGCCGCCGCGGGCTGCGGAGCGCGAGGTGTTGATGGGGTTCAGGCGGGGCCACGCCGTGCCCTGCATGAGCAGCTCCGCCGCCAAGAGCGACCCCGAGCGCTTCGAGGCCCTGCGGCGGTCGCTCGTGGGCAACTCCTTCCAGTGCGAAGTCGTGGCCTGGCTGCTGAGCCACTGGGCGGAGCCTCCACGAGAGCTCGAGGAGCTGGTCGATGGGCCGCAAGCTGTGGGCCGGCGACGTGGAGACGCTGCGGTGTGGGCGCGAGGCCGTGTGCGAGGAGAACCTGCACCTGCTGGAGGCGGCTGGCCGCGTGCCGGCGGCTGGCGATGGGCAGCTGCCGCGGGCCGTCTACGTCTGCCGCGGGTCGCGCCGCTGGGGGCTCGCCCCCTCCAAGTGGGGGAACCCGTGCCCTGTGGTGCCGGGGCGGGCGGCCGGCGACGCCGTGGCGCTGTTCGCGGGCTGGTTGCGCTCCCAGCCCAAGCTCCTGGACCAGCTGGGAGAGCTGGAAGGGGCTCGGCTGCTCTGCCACTGCCCCTCGGGCCAGGCCTGCCACGCGGACGTGCTGCTGGCCGAGCTGGAGCAGCGTGGCAAGGGGTGCACGCGGCCCTTCCTGGAGCACCAGAGGGTGGCGGCCTCGCTGGTGATGACGCGCCACCACTCGGGCGCGGACCTTCGAGTGGATACCGATGCAGAGACGCATGGCAAGATGTTCCCACGGCAAGAGATCGATGCTGGCATTTGGAAGTGGAAGGTCGCACGCCAGCTCGTTTGGCAGGACCCAGCCAAGCACATCAATGTGTTAGAGTGCGAGGCGGCGTTGATGGCCCTGCGTTGGCGGGCCCGCTCAGTCTCGCAGCAGATGTGCGTCTTCCTCCACCTGCTCGACAGCATGGTGAATATCGGTGCTCTTGCCAAGCGCCGATCTTCGAGCCAGCAGCTCAACAAGGTAGTGCGCGCCTTTTCCATCCTCGAGCTGGCGCTCGGATCGCGGGCTGTCTTTGCCTTCGCCTCATCGGCAAAGAACCCTGCGGATGCGCCATCCCGCTTGCCTAATGGGTAGGAGGCGCACTTCGCCAGAGGAGAGGCGCGCTGCCCGAGCTGCTCTTGGCCGTCTGGCCGACGCGCGCGTGAACACTAGAACGCGCAATAGGTACCAGCGCGCATGCCAGCAGTTTGTCGAGCTTTCGAGTGCTATGTATCTCTCTTTGCCAGTCACGTGGGACGAAATGGATCTCTGCCTTCGAGATTATCTTGATCATCTCTGGAGCATCGGTGCCTCGAAGGGGCAAGCGAACGACACTTTGTCAGGAGTGCAGCATTTCCTGCGCTCGCGCCGCCAGTATCCTGGAGCTTGGCGCCTCCTCTCGGTGTGGTCACGCCTCGAGGTGCCGAGCCGCGCGCCTCCAACGCCTGCTCGAGTCGCCGCCGCGATGGCGGGCTGGGCGCTCGAGCACAATGAGTTCGCCCTGGCTGCCTGCATTCTTGGAGGCTTCCACCTGTGCCTGAGAACAGGCGAGATCCTTGGATTGAACCGTGCCCTGGTCCAGGTCGGCCCCCAGGGCCGCGGGGTCGTGAGTCTCCCTTGGACCAAAACAGCTGCCCAGAAAGGCGCCCGGGAGACCGTCGCCATCGACGATCCCTACATAGGGACCAGGGTTCACCGCGCGCTGTCGCTGGACCCTGCCGGCAAACTTTGGAGCGGCACGCTCCCGTCTTTCCGCGCCGCGTTTAAGCGTGCTGCTGCAGGCGCGGGCTGTCGCCACGCTCGCCTCACTCCTTACAGTCTGCGTCGAGGCGGGGCCACGCGCGAATATCTATCGCCAAAGAATCTTGAGCGCGTCATGTTTCGTGGGCGATGGAGCTCCATCAGGACAGCCAAGATATATATATATACATACATATATAGAAGACGGGGCCGCCATCCTTGCCGAAAGGCAGTTCAGAGGCGAAACTCAGAGATGGATCGGTCATTACTCGTCCTCTTTTGTCGATCGGACCAGAGAGGAATTCGGCTGAATAGCCAGGGCGGGGCGGGTGGAAAGGATCGAGCTGTGGCCTCGACTCCCTCTGATCGCTGCCCGGAACGCCGCTGTGCCGACCATTCTTGGGTCGACCGTCTGGGTCCTTGGCCGAGCGCGATGAGGCGCGGAGAGAGGAGTCGAGCCCCCCTCAGATCCAAGTCGAAGTGCTATGGCCATGTGGAAAAAGGACGGGGCCCTCTGGAGGCTCCCCTATCCTGTGTGCTTCCGCAACCCCGCCCCCCCCCCCCCCAACCGCACTCAGATAAACGTTTGCGGTAGATAAGTCGGGGGTGGGAGATCAGGGGTGCGGAGAAGGCATGGCCGTTAAGAGATTGCATGGCAGTCGCTGTTGCCCGCCCATACCCACACTTGGCGACTGTTTCAACCTTGCTAAGACCCGCAAGGATCGAGCTGTGGCCTCGACTCCCTCTGATCGCTGCCCGGAACGCCGCTGTGCCGACCATTATTGGGTCGACCGTCTGGGTCCCTGGCCGAGCGCGATGAGGCGCGGAGAGAGGAGTCGAGGCCCCCTCAGATCCAAGTCGAAGTGCTATGGCCATGTGGAAAAAGGACGGGGCCCTCTGGAGGCCCCCTATCCTGGGTGTTTCCGCAACCCCGCCTCCCCCCCAACCGCATTTATATATATATATATATATAAATGTGTATATATAAGAGAGAGATATTAGTAATGCAAGGAGCACCTACACAAACACTGATCCGACTAGACTACGGGCCTGGCGAGGGCCGCTGGGTCCGGAGCGCCCTGAAGGGTTCAAGACGGCGCCTGATGGCTTCAGAGGAACCCAAGCTGGGCCAAGAGGGCTACATGACGCCAGCGATGGCCCGGCTTGAATTACTCGGCGAACGGCAATTTCTTGTCCTACCTCCTTCGGGGTCGCCCTGCTCCATTTCGTTTAGTTATCCTGCCAAGCCTCTCACTTCCTCCTCCTCCTCCTCTTCCTCCTCCTCCTCCTTCTCCCCCTCCTCCTCCTCCTTCTCCCCCTCCTCCTCCGCCAACGATGGCTTCAGAGGACCCAGCAGCAGCAGCAGCAGCAGCAGCAGCAGCAGCAGCAGCAGGAGGCCTCTGGGACTGTCTTGGCAAGGCAGTCCCAGCGGCCTCCTTTTCGCCCCATGAGCGCCCCAAGAGGCCTCCCAAGGGAACCCCAAGAGGCCAAAATTGTCAAATTCCTCTTTGATAACACGTGCATTTTCAGCATCGACGACTTCTCGCCTTCCCGACGCTCCCAGACGGCACAGGAGGCCCCCCAAGACCGCCCCAAGACGGCCCAAGAGGCGCCCAAGAGGCCCCCACGATTGCCAAAGAGGCGCCTAGAAACAGCCCACGCGGCCCCAAAAACGGCCCCAGAGAGGCCCAAAGGACCCCCGACAGAGGCCCCCAGCAGGCCCCAGCCCCCTTTTATGAGGCCCCCCAAAAGCCCCAAGAGACGCCAAAACAGCTCCCAAGAGGTGTCAAAACTGTTTCCGAAGAGCAGCCTGCCACGTTCTTGGGGCCCCTGGGTTAGTACGGCGACGGTCAGAGTACCTATGTGTGTGTATATCTATATATATATATATACATAAAAAAGAGAGAGAGAGAGAGAGAGAGAGACAGAGACAGAGACAGAGACAGAGACAGAGACAGAGACAGAGACAGAGACAGAGATAGAGACAGAAAGAGAGAGAGAGAGAAAGAAAAACAACATTAAAAACAACAAAAACAAAACTAGAAAGAGAGAGAGAGAGAGAGCTAGTTAATATAACGAAGTCCAATACACATACAAAACTGATCCAGCTAGACGCTGGGCCCGGTGGGGGCCGCAGGGCCCGGAGCGCCCCTGGAGGGTGTAAGACGGCCCCAGATGGCCCCCAGAGGGCCCCAAGACGGGCCAGCAGGGTTCCAAGGCGCCCAAGAGGGCCCCAAGACGGCCCAAAAGGCCCCCCAGACGCCCCAAGAGCGCCCCAAGAGGCCTCCTTAGACAGCCCCGAGAGGCCAAAACCGTGTAATTCTGTCGGGAAAACGTGCGCTTCTAGCATCTACGACTTTGGGGTTTTCCGACGCTCCAAGACGGCCGGCCCAAGACGCCCTCCAGACCGCCTTGAGACGGCTCAAAAGGCCCCCAAGACGCCCCCACGACGGCCCAAGAAGCGCCCTAGAGGGCCCAAGAGAACCGCATGACGGCCCCCGAGACCGCCAGCAGGCCCCCAACAAGCCCCAAGAGGCACTCAATTGTGGGACTCGTGGGACCTCGGGGACCTGGGGGACCTCTGTGGCCCCAAACCAGCCCAATAATTGCCAATACTGGCTCGACCCAGCAACGCAGAACTACTGCAGAAAAGCACCCTGATAGCAGCAAAGGTGACTTGTGGGACCTGTGAGGCAGCTGGGAACTGTGGGACTTGCGCGACCTGTGGGACCTGGGGCACATCTGTGGCATGTGGGACTTGCGCGACCTGTAGGTGGACTTGCGCGACCTGTGGGACTTGCGCGACCTGGGGAACTGTGGGACTTGCGCGACCTGTGGGACCTGTGGGACGGACCTGGGGGAACTTGATGGCATGTGGGACCTGTGGAACACGTGGGACCTGTGGGACTTGTGGGGCCTGCGAGACCTGCGAGACATGCGAGACCTGTGGGACCTGTGGGACCTGCGGGACCCGTTGGACATTGGGGACCTCTGTGGGGCCTGTGAGACTTGCTACACTTATGGGACCGTTGAGACTTGCGCACCTGTTGAACCTGTGGAACCTGTGGGACCTATGGGGCCCGTGAGACTTGCAACACTTGTAGGATCTGTGGGGCGACCTGCCACACCTGCGGGACCTGGGAAACCTGCGAGACCTGGGGGACTTGAGAGGGCTGAAGTGGTGAGAAGTCGAAAGCCCTGCCACACGCCTTGGGAAAGTTGAAATATTGAGAGTCCGATGGCCCTGACGCACGCTCGTGACCTGGACAGGGTGAACTGGTGAGAATGCCATGGCCTTCCAACACGCTCGGGACCAGGGAAGGCTAAACTGGTGAGACTTAGTGTGTCTTTTACATGGGATCGTGGCCGTCCGGACCAAACATGCAGCCGGCACTGAGGCGAGATCACGATTCCCGAATCAAGTGCGAGGAAGTCCAAGGCGAAACGGCTTCCAGACCGGACGTCCTCAGGTTCCCCGCCCCCCATGTGGGACTCTGCTCTGGCTTTTTTTTTCGAAATTGCTAGAAACTTCCAGCGAGAGCGACGAACCCCGCAAAACAACCTTAACAACTAGCAGCAAACGCGGCCTGTGGGACCTGAGGGGCAGGTGGGACCTGCGGAACTTGCGCGATTTGTGGGACCTGGAGGGGCACTGTGGCATGTGGGACGCGTGAGACCTGTGGGATCTGTGGGACTTGTGGGACGTGCGAGACCTGTGAGACCTGTGACACTTGTGGGGCCTGCGGTGTCCTGTGACCTGTGGGATCTATGTGGGGCCTGCGAGACCTGCGACACTTGTGGGACCTGTGGGACCTGTGGCGGGGACCTCTGTGGGAGCTGTGAGACCTGCGACAACTGTCGGACGCGGCGGACGTGTTGGACTTGTGGGACCTGTGGGACCTGCGGAGTCCTGTGGGACCTGTGGGACCTGTGGGGCCTTTGTGGGGCCTGCGAGACCTGCAACACTTGTGGGACCAGTGGCACTTGCGGGACCTGAGGGACATCCTTGGGACTTGTGAGACTTGCGACACCTGTCGGACACGTAGGACCTGTTGGACCTGCGAGGCCTGTGGGACGTATGGGACAAGTGGAACATATGGGACCAGTGGGACCAGTGTGAGGCTGGTGGGACCAGTGGGGTCGTCCTGGGACTTGCCACAACTGCGGGACCTGCGGGACGACCTGCGACATTTTTGGCACCTGTGCGACCTGCAGGACTTGTGGGCCCCTCATTTGGGACTTGCGAGACCTGGGAGACCTGCAAGGGTTGAAATGGTGAGACTTCGAGTGCATGCCACATGTCCGTGACCTGAGAAATTTGAAATTGTGAGAATCCCATGGCCCTGCCACACGTTCGTTACCTGGGAAGGGTAAAATGGTGAGAATCCGATCTCCCAGCCACTCGTTCGTGACCTGGGAGTGACTCGGGAAAGTTGAAATGGTGGGAATCCGATGGCCCTGCCACATGTTCGTAACCTGGGAAGGGTGAAATGGTGAGAATACCATGGCCCTGCCATTCGCTCGTGACTTAGGAAGTCTCGAATGGTGAGAATCGTGACTACTCAGAGGGGATCGTGGCCTTCTGGACCAAATATGTGGCCGACAACGAGGCGAGAGAGCACGATTCCTGCATGAAGTGTGAGGAAGTCTGACGCGAAGCGGCTCTTCTGGGCAAGACGTCCTCGGGTTGCCCGTCCCCCGTCTGGGACTTGTCCGTGCTCCTCCTTTGCTGCTGTTGACCTCCCTCGCGACACGCTATCCGGGAAATCTATACTCGGTGCGTGCGCGGACGACGTGGGCTTGGCTGTGGATTGCGCGTGTGTCTTGAAGCCCAAGAGTGGCACCCTCCTGGCGCGGCGGAATGCATCGCCCAATGAATTGCTCTGGGCTGCGAAGGACCAGGTTGTCCCCTCGGCGCAGGCCGTCTGCGAAGAGCTCGGCGCCAGACTGCGCAGCATAGGATTGTCTCTTTGGTGCGCCGCCGGGCCGGCATGGCAGAGACGCTGATGGCCGAGTGCTTGGGCGTGGCGGTGGGGCTTGCGACTGGCGAACATCGGTGGCGCGAGCTGCTGGCGGGGTCGCCAACTTGCGCGCGCCAGCGGGCAGTTTCGGTCGCGCTGCGCAACCACCTGCAACGACATCGCGCAAAGAGAGAGAGAGAAAGAGAGAGAGCAAAGAGAGAGAGAGAGAGAGAGAGCTTGGCTTCAATGGGACACTGCGTTTGCTTCCCGAGAGCCTTCCTCCACGTCTTGCGCGCCTGCTTTGGGCAGGCGGCCCGCCTTGGAGGCCCCTATCGCGCAACGTGCCGAACCGAGCGACTCCGACGACGGCTGCCCTGGACGCGACGTCGAGCCGGGACCCATCGCCGCGACGCCTTCGCGGCGCGGCGGCTGCCACGCCCCCCGCGCTGCTGCTCGCGGGAGGCGCCCACCTCGGCCCTCGAGCGGGCGGCCGGCGGGCTCCCGCGGGTCCGCGCGGCCCCGCGCTTCCTCCGCGCCGGCGGCGCCGGTGCGTCGCCGACGCCGCCGAGGCGGCGCGAGCCTCCGATGCCGCCTGCTCCTCCTCCTCCTCCTCCTCCTCCTCCTCCTCCTCCTCCTCCTCCTCGTCCTCCTCCTCCTCCTCCTCCTCGTCCTACTACTACGCAGCCTGCTCGGGCCCCGTGCGGGACCGAAGAGGAAGCGGGCGCCGTGCACAGAGGCCGTGGGGCGCGCCGCGCGGAGCCCGGGACTCCGCGCGGAGCTCCGGGCGCTCGTGTGCGTCATGTGGTTGTTTCTTCTTCTTCTTTTTCTTCTTCTTCTTCTTCTCAGTCAGCTTGCTGGAAAGCTGGCCCAGTTTTTTGAGCGCGTTCGCCCCTGCAGCGCTAACAACGGAAATTGGACCAGGTTTGTTTCAAGAAGCCTCGGAGAGGTTGGCCCGAGTGTCTTCAATAACAGATGCGGCGGCTTCTTCTTCTTCTTCCGTGGGAAGCCTCCGGGGAGGCAGCCCTGCGCGCGGGGCGAGGAGGAGGAGGAGGAGGAGGAGGAGGAGGGAGGAGGAGGAGGAGGGAGGAGGAGGAGGAGGAGAAGCAGGAGGAGAGGAGGAGGAGGAGGAGGAGGAGGAGCAGGAGGAGGAGGAGGGGGGGGGGGGGGCAGGCGTCCGACGGGGCGTGCAGCAGCAGCGAGCCGCTGCCCCATGCGCGCGCCGCGGCGCCAGCAGACCAGCGGAGGGCGCGGCCTGCACGCAGGCCGTGGTCTGTCGTCGGCGCGGTGGTCGTGGTCGAGGTCGTCAACCAGACCTCGTCCTTGCCCTCGTCCTCCGCCGTCGTTCTGGTACTCGTCGTCGTCGTCGTCCTCGTGGTCCTCGTCGTCCTCGTGGTCCTCGTCGTCCTCGTCGTCCTCGTCGTCCTCGTCGTCCTCGTCCTCGTCGTCGTCGTCGTCTTCGTCGTCGTCTTCGTCGTCGTCGTCCTCGTCGTCGTCCTCGTCCTCCTCCTCGTCGTCGTCGTCGTCGTCGAGGTCGTCACTGCCGTCGTCGTCGAGGTCTTCACTTCTCTCGTGCTTACTTCCTCCGCCCACGGCGGCAGCCTGCCGCTCACCATCGCAGCTGCCCCCCGCGGCCCGTCCGCCCTGCCCAGCTCGAATCGGGGCCGCCTCAAGAGCGCGTGGCGGTGATGAACCCCGCAGCGCAGTCTGCTTCGGCCAGGCACATTGACTATGGGGGAGGCCCACCATCGAAGAAGAAAGAACGCCGTAAACGTACACTTTTGGCGCTCCGTGCGGATTTCTTGGATCCGCGCTGGGCCCCCCTGGCGGCGCCTCCGGCGCCGCCCCTGGCGCGCTCCGCGCGCCAGGGAGGGGTTTCCAGGCCATATCCAAGAAATCCGCGCGGAGCGCCAAAAGTTTATGTTTATGGTGCTGTCTTCTTCTACACCAGCAATGCAGTCGAGCACCTGGTTAAGACACCTCCACACGAAAGGCTGGGGCAGCGTTTCTCAATCAGTTTGCCAGAAAGCTGGCCCAGTTTCTTGAGCGCGTTCGCCCCTTGAGCGCTAACAACGGAAAGTGGACCAGGTTTGCTTTAAGAAATCTCGGAGAGGTTGGGCCAAATGTCTTCAATAACAAATGTCTTGGTCATCTGTCCGGATTTAGCTTCAGTGGTGCGAGGACGCACCTCCCCTGCACTTGCTGGTGCCACCCCTGACCAGTCCGAGGGCTCAGGGCATTGTATGGCCCGAACTGTATGCGGCCCGATGTGGCGCTGGGCCTGCGTGGCCTGACATGTCCGTTTGTATAGGCTTGAATTTGTGTCTGCACGGGGAGGTTTCATAATACCATGTTTCCCCGAATCCCAGCGGCTGGCACTGGCGAGAGTAGGTAGAGTGCCCAGCATGACATCAGAAGCTGTGCTCTCGTCCACTCGTGTTGGCCGCTCACAGTTCTGATGCACGTACGACGAATAATCGAGTGAGAAGGTGGTGAGTGCCCTCTGGGAAAAAAAACATTGTTTCGAAGCTGGTTCGCCTCTCTGTGAGAACTGGCACATGTACGCCATACACGTGGAGCACCCCCCTGGTAGTGAACAGTGCGGGGCGTGCTCCCTGTCAGTGAACCCCCGTCGCGAGAATTGTGGGCCTGTCTTCAACCACCCTGCCCGCTGCTACAGCCTGTGCCCCGCAGACACCGATCTCCTCACCGCTCCCCCCGCCGCTCGAAGAGCTCGTATCATCCGCCTGTCTTGGGAGGCCTGCTGGACAAGGCGAAGGAACAACTGGACGACGCGCGCAAGAAGGACGACACAAGACGACAGCTGGCATGTGGGGAGGGGGGTATGTAAGACTGGCGCGCGGGAGGAGGTGGTCGGCGAGGGGGTGGTCGGAGGGAGATGTCGGCGAAGGAGGACGAAGAGGCGATACAGAGCGATAGCGGTCGTGGCGGAAACAAGCTGCGAGCGGGCCTCGTGCTGTAGGCAGAGGCGCGCCCATCGTTTGACTCGCCTGCAAGCGGTGCTTGTCGTGGAAGGTGAATGAAAGGGCACCACAAAGGAGCGTGTGTGTGTGTGTGTGTGTGTGTGTTTGTGTGTGTGTGTGTTTGTGTGTGTGAGTGTGTGTGTGTTTCCAGCACACTACAAACGGGATGGCGAGGTTCCAACAAAGGGAGGAGAAGGAGGATTGGAGTCATCTTGCTGGCCGCTGTCTTCTCGTCATTGTTCTTCACGCCTCCCTCTCCACAACCTTTCTTTCGCCTTCTCCCTCTCTCTCTCTCTCTTTCTGTTCTCCCTTCTCCCCCTTGGTCCTTCTCTGGGCCCCCAGGGCGGGGGGACAGATACGGAAGAGAAGTGGGTCGGAATGTGGGGGTTGGATGATGTGGTCAGGGTCAGGAGGGCGAGCCTCGTCCTCCTGATCCCGACCCTCCTCATCCTCACCCGCGGCACCACCGCGCCCGGCTCATTTTCCTCCCGCCCACATGCACACGCCCCCTTTTATATCCAGAAGCTCCAGATCAACCGCAGAGCGGCTGCCTGGCATCATCAAGATTGCCGCGTGTGCTGAAGGTGCTCGTTACAAGTTACACGGTCGCACCCTGTATCTTCCCAGCCCCTTCCTCCCGACACGACCGATTGTCTTTCGCAACCCAAGGGAGGGATCGGCCATTCCCGCCTCGAGTCACCCCTGCTTGCAGCTGAGGAGAGGGGTGCACTCGGGAGCAGCTCGAGGCAGCAGGAGGAGGCAGGGGCACGGAGAGCAAAGGATCGCCAGGCGGTTGCCGCCGTTCGGTGCCAGGGGGAGGGAGGGAGGGAGGGAGGGAGGGAGGAGGGGGAGGAGGAGGAGGAGGAGGAGGAGGGGGAGGAGGAGGAGGAGGAGGAGGAGGGGGAGGAGGAGGAGGAGGAGCAGGAGGAGGAGGAGGAGGAGGAGGCGGAGGAGGAGGAGGCGGAGGAGCAGCTCGCGAGCCACGGGCGGGACCCGCCGCACGCACCCTCTGGGAGCGGCGCACGCCCGGGCGGTGAGCCTTGGTGGCCGGCGCGCCCGCCGCGGCCCGCGCGAGCCGTGGCACGGTCGAGGCGCCGAGTCGGGGACCGCGCTGGTCGACGCGCGCGCTCCACTGCTCGCAGAGTCACTGCTCGCAGATGGCCCGGATCCCCCGCCGGGGATCTACGATAGATCGCGTCGAGGCGGACGTCTGCGATGTCCGCCAGCGCTGCTGTCCGCAGCCAGGGCCAGAGACCCAGGAGGAGGAGGAGGAGGAGGAGGAGGAGGAGGAGGAGGAGGAGGAGGGCGGACGGGTGTTTTTTTTCGGACGTTTGCGAGTAGGCACTTCTGCGAGCAGCGGAACGCGCTCGGCGAGCTGGGTTCGGGAGGGGCTCGCGTTGGTGATCGGTCGCGCTGGGGCTCACGGCAATTCTTACAAGGATCGCTCGTGGTGTTGCGCATGATGTGAAGACCAGGGCGACGATGCGAAATTTTGGGGTGATGAGAAAGTTCGCCCGAAGTTCGCCCCCCGCGCCTCTTGTGGCAGTTTGAACCCACGTACACCCCGTGGATAATCAGATGGAGGGGGTGAAAGGGGGGCGGTCACCTTTCTTATCCACGGCATGCGGTGAATGCCTTTGGCCCAGCTAACTTTGGGCCCCTCCCAAACGGTCAGGGGTCCTTTGATTCTCCAATCAGTGCTTGCACTGAAGGGGTCCTAGCGGAAGTTGAGAGATTTGGCGAGAGTGTCCCGCCGATTTTGGTAGGAGCTGGCTGGGTTCGCAGGTTCCGGGTTCCGGGTTCCCGGGTTCCTGGTTATTGGTTCCGGGCCGATTTCGGTTGGTTCTGGGTTCCCAGGCTCCCGGGTTCTTGGTCGATCTCGTCAGCGGAAACCATCCGCTGATTGGGGTTCTTCTCTGGTGTAGTCTTATTCACTGTTTTGCCGATCAGCGCGGGCCCTTGCACCCCCCCTTCCCCCGCTCCTCTGGAGTGAATCTTGGTTGTTTGGGGCGCCCGTTTCGAGCAGGTGGCGTCTCCCCCAATAGAACGCACTGTTGCAAACAGTCGCGTTAAGCAGAGGTCCGGAGCTAGACCCACCCCCCTTTCCCCCCCCCCCCTTCCGCCCAATGTCGAAACGCCGAATAAGAAAGCGCGCACTTTTCTTAGGACGGACGGGGTCCTGAGGAGTGGAATCCTAAGGACAAGTTGTTTCAAGCAACGTAAATCCACTCTTGGATCCCGCCCAAACCTTAGGGCACCCTCTCTCAGAGCCCCATCTCAGAACCACCGAGCAAGGGGTCATTATAATGACACGCTCCAGAGTTTCCAAGGTTCCCAGGGTGTCCTCCCATGGTGCCTCATGGTCCGCACCCGCTGGAGGCTCTGGAAGTCCTGGAACGCATCCTGAGCCACGCTTCTCACTGCATCCTTCTCGCCCAAGTTTCGGGCCGTACCGTGCAGCCAAGACGCTGAAATAATAAGGAAGGCCTCGGGTGCGGAAGGGGCTCGCTGTTCCTTGAGCTCCTCCATGGCTCCTCCTCCATCACTCCTCGTGCACCTAGGCGCTTCTGGGGCCGAGAAGGGGCTTCGTTCCTTATTCATCAGGAGGGGTAAAAAAACACGGACATAATCAATCGTCGATTCCCAAGAAAATATGGGAAAATATGGGAATTGGGCGGGAAGACCAAAACCCAGAACATATGGGGAATCTTTTTTATTTGTGTGTATTTATTTGTGTGTCCCAGGGCCCCTTCAATTCAGCGCTCCTTCTGATAGCACCTCGACTGTAGGTCGGACTCGGGGAGCCCTCTCCGTAGCCGAGGCGCGCCTCTGCCGGGCGCGAACCCCCGGTGGGAGCGCGGCGGCCGCACGCGGGCGAGGCTGCCCAGGGAGCCTCCCGCCGCCAGGAGACCAGCTCGAGGCACAACTTCGAGATGCCGACGGCTCAGACTCCAACTTGGCATCGCTCGGACGTGTGCATTTTTCCTTCGGCGAGGACCATCGAGGAGCATCCTTGATCATTCGGCGAAAAAGCCACGCACGAAACCGAAAAAAGCACAGGGAATGGAAGTCCGAGCGATGGCCAGCCAAGGGCCAGGGGCAGGGTCTTGCGGCGAGGAAGGGGGGGGAAGCGAGAGGGAGAAAAGGCCTCCTCAGGAGGCGGCGGGACTTCTCAGAAGGCCCCCGGCCTTGTGAGAGGTTTGCTGTGTCTTCGGGGGAAGCTTGCGGAACTTCTCAGAAGGTATGGGGATTTCCGAGCCGTCTGAGAAGGCCCGCTCCTTCTCACTTCCTCCCCTAGCTCGCCGCCGAGGGGTGGGAGTGCAGGGGGCAGAGTGTTGGAGCGCAGTTGTTTTACAAGCGTTGCCACAAATAGCCAGCGAGCAGCGAGCAGATGTGCTGTCACCCTGATAGCTGAGGCCACGTGCCCGTGCAGCTACCCGCCAGTGTGCGGATTCTCTGGCGCAGTTCCGCAATCAGACAGTGAGGCTGTGTTCTGTCGGTTTGGTGAACACACTGAGGATGCAGTGGCGGGAGGCTTTGATGACACGTCCATCTGGACACCAGCGTGGTCTCAATGAAGCCTTGGGAATTCCCTGTCTCCGATCCAACTGGCTTGTCCTGCAGAGTGGTGGCCCTCGGGGTCTCGGGAGGTCTCCTGCAGCAGAGCCTCCGATGCTGCTCGAGCAGCGAGGCCGCTCCCCCACTCTCGATCGACGCCGCTGCCACCCTGGAAGCTTCGGCTGCCGAGCGGCTCGGGCACGGAAGCGTGCCGAGGTTGGAGCAGTCGCTCAAGGACGAAATCAAGTTCGGCAACGAGGACAGCTGGGCGTGCAGGGCGTGCAGGGGGGGGGGGAACAGGTCGAGGTGGCGAGGATGTGCGCGTCTGCCTCTGGACGCGCCTGTCTGGTTGACCACCTGGCCTGGTGTAACCACGACGACTGAGGTTCCAGTGGCGCACGAGGCAGTCGGGGGGGGCAGTCCGAACTTTCTGGGTAACGTTGACAAGGTGCCTCCAAGCTTGTCTCCAAGATGCCCCGTGATGCCACCAGGACTGCCCCCCAATGTGCTTCCGACGGGCCGCAAGCCCCCCCCCCCGATGAGCGGCTCTAGCGGCCACGGGGCCGCCCAAGGACGTACTCCCTTTATCGGCCCAACTATCCCCAAGGCCTAGTCGGAACATGTGCACGTTGCATTCTCGTGCGTTCGCGTCTTAATTTATGTTGCGCGTCTCTCTAGCAGTCGGCTCAACATTCTCGTGGCTCCTGCTCGCGCTAGGCCATGGCTGCAGTCGGAGAAGCGCAAGCGCGACGCGGGAGAGGGCAGACGCGGTAGATGGATGTTGGTTTGTAGCGCGTTGTTCCCAGAGAGACGTGTCTTGATCTGGACTTCTGAGGATGGGCCCTCTGGAAGGCTTCTGGGACCGCTGGCAAGCCATTGGGGACGGGCCAGGGCCTTGTGAAAGCATTCTGCAAGCATTGATGGAAGAATCACTGCTTCATTTTTTGTTCTGCCTCGCAGGGGCCTGCTGGGGCTCCCGAGAGCATCATTGGGGCTTTGGGGGGCATTATTGGGCTCACTGAAGCCCTCCTTGGATGGGTCGGGGCGGTATTCTGGGAGGTCCAAGATCCGCCGGGAGCGCCTGGCGACGGGCCGTCTCGGGGCATCCTGCGCGCCGCCGGGTCTTCGAGCAGCACGTTCGAACCATACCATGCTGCTGCTGCCCCTACCCTGGGCGCCAGGAAGGAAGGGTAGGGATAAAAGAGCTCGGCGCCTGGGACAATGTCCTTCCAGTGTGGGGCCCATGCCAAGAAACACCCTGCTTGCCTCAAGGATGCCCTGGGTTTCTTGGGTTTCGATGGCTCTGCGATGGAAAGCGTGACGCTCCCACACCAGAAATCAATGGACGTCCTGGGGTCTCAGGGTTGGGTTTATTGTGGAAGGCTTCCTTGTGGACTGGCCTTCACTTTATCCGTGCCCCCACTCTGGCCCCATGGTGGGATTGGGTCGTGAGCAGGGGCGCGTGTACAAATCGTCGATCGCCTGAATGGGGGGCATGGACCTTCACCACGACGCCTTGAGGCAATCTCGAAGCAGTACCCACAAGCCTGGGCGGCCTTGCCTCGGGACTGCTTATGAAACGTCGATCAACTGGAGGGGGCGCGGGATTTCACCGCAGCGTCCTGAGGCAGTCTCGAGGCAGTGCCCACAACGAGCCAGGGTGGCCTCCCTTCGGGACCGCTTCTGCTGGCCCCTGGGCAGGCGGGAACAGGTAAGGGCCTGCTCCTTACCTGGGCGCCCGCAGCTGTGGACAAGAGCGAGGGATTCGGACTCGGAGTGGCCAGCCGGTTCGCGGGCTGTGGGCGGGCCGCGCGTCGCGTGCGAGGCGCGGCCGTCTCCCTCGGGTCTGGCGCGGCCGTGCCGCGGGACGCGGGTCGGTCGCGGTGCTGTTGCCGGCGAGTGGGTTCCGCAGAGTCAGGCGGGCTCGAGGGGGAGGGGGGAGCCGCCAGGTTGCACGCGCAGGCAGATGCACGCACACGTGCGCACATGCGCACACCACAAGCAGCGCAGCACGGGCACGCAGGCACTGATCCAAGCGTCCCCGCCGATCCAACACCGTCGCTGCCAGAGCGAGACCTATGACGCCTGATCGTTGGAAGGGGCTGCAGGCGGGAGCGCTAGCTCGTCAGGCAAGATCTTTAGCGCGAGGAGGAGCGGGAGAGGAGGACAAGGACCAGGAGGGAGGAGGAGGACGACGAACAAGAGGAGGGGGACCAGGATAAATTCAAGACGCATCAACGATGTTGCAGTGAACCCTCCATCCAAGCCCCCTCTTCATAGGTCTCCATGAGAATGTTTCTACATTGCGGGAATTGACCGATTAGAAATCAGCCGTCTGAGAATCCTTAGTCGTGCCAAGGACATTTCTGGGAGCTCACCGCAGCGGATCGATGTAATTGTTGCGTCCGGACAATCTAAACCGTGTCAGAGCATTGTTCTGGGGATTTTGACACCACCAATCAATGGATCTGTCGCGTCCTGACAATCCTAAACCGTGTCAGAACACCAGTCTTGGGACTTCACCCATGCGAACTCCCCTTCCTGCCGCGAACTTTGAAGACGACTGCACGCGGCGCTAAGGCGAAAGCCACAGTAAAACAATGGATTGCCATCCATCCCTGAAGCTGTTGCAGATTATCAAGAGCGGCGTGCGTGGCGCTAAAGTGAGAAACAAACTGTGGAGAATAACCGCCCTCCCTCTTTGAAACTGCTGCAAACGTTCAAGGGGGATTGGAGCGGCGCTAAGGCGCGAGCTACATAAATCTATGTGTATATATATATATGTATGAATAAACACTCCGTCCTTGAAACCACTGCGCACTATTAGGACAAATGTGTGCAGCGCTGAGGCGAGAGCCACATGTTGAAAAGGACCAGCCCTCCATCCTTGAAGCTGCTGCAGCAGTTTAAGACAAACGCGCACGGCGCTTAGGCGAGAGCCACATTTTGAAAACGTTCCGCCATCCATCAGTGAAACGGTTGCGAGTTTCAAGCTTCAGAATCATACATGGTGAGGAAGTCTCAGGCGAAACGCAGGGCCCACCCTACGCGCACGTCTGGGGGCGTGGCCGGGAGGAGTCATGCATCAGGAAAAGGATTGATCGGGGGGGCGTGCCATGGTTGCCGCAGCAGTAGGAGGAGGAAGAGGACGAAGAGGACGAGGAGGACGAAGAGGACGACGAGGACGAGGACGAGGAGGGGGAGGAGGAGGAAGAGGAGGAGGAAGAGGAGGAGGAGGAGGAGGAGGAGGAGGAGGAGGAGAAGGAGCAGCAGTGCGGGCGCGCGCCCCTGCAGGGGGGAAAACAGGAGGAGGGAAGAGGGCCGGAGGGAGGAGTGACGAGGGAAACGCGAGGAGACGACGGTGCGCAGGAGGAGCAGAAGCAGCAGCAGCAGCAGCAGCAGCAGCAGCAGCAGCAGCAGCAGCAGCAGCAGCAGCAGCAGCAGTAGCGGACGCGGCGGCGGCGCGACCGTGGGCGCGGGGCGCTCGTGCCGGAGGGCCCCCCCCCCCCTGCCCAGACTAGCAGGACCTCCAGAAGGCCAAGAAGGACCGCGCCTCGGAGAGCGAGGCCAAGGCCTCCGCGGAGGCCGCCGTCCCTCCCTTCGCTCCGCCCCCCCTCCGCTCCTCGCCCCGCCCTCCCTCCGCTCTCCCCCCAGCCCTCCTCCCCATGCCTCCCCTCCTCCCTCCCTGCCTCCTCCAAGGTATCCTGCGGACGAAAATCGCATGGCGCGCGAGAGCGTCAGGTTGAGGGGGCCGAGCTGTCTGTGTCTGCAACTGCCCCTGGCGTGCGCGGCGGGAGTGCGACTCCACGGTGCGGGCTCGTGCTCTAATTGTGTTGGCGGCCCCGCCCCGCGACCAACACCCGCAGCCCGCCCCGCGACAACCCACCCCGCGGCCCACCCCCGCTACCTGCCGCACGATTCGCCCAGCGATCCGCCCACAACCCGTCCGTTGGAGGCCGCGCAATGGGAGGGCGATGCTTGCGGGTGTTGCTGGAAGTGTCCCTGGCCCAGGGTGCCCCCAGCTTTTCGCACCAGTTTGGAGCCACTGGCTGGGGCCCCGTTGGGGGGGTGCCCTGGAGGCCGCCTGGGCCCTCCAGAGAATCCTGGGGGCACCTTGGGCCAGCCCAGTGGCGCCGCCAGGAACACCCGAAAAATTATGGGGCAGCGAGGGCTGCTGAAAAGGGGCCCTTCGGGGCCCCTAAATGGGGCCCTCGAGGGCCCCAGAGGGGCCATGGAGGGCCCGAAAGGGGCGCCGTTCTTCCCCCCATGTTCTTCGCCCCCCATCAAGTCGCGCCCAGCGTCCGCGACCCACCCGCACTGTGCAAGGAATTGTCGCTTGGAAGAGCACGCGGACCATGGCCAAGGTGTCGCGGGATCGTGGCGATGTATCTCTCTCTATATATCTATGTGTGTGTATGTATATATGTGTGTGCATATACATATCTATCGGTATTGGTCATGGTTCGTGCCAGCCGTCGCCGATTCGCGAGAATGATCTGGGAGTTGACGGTGACTAAAACGGACGCTGACCGAGATCGACGCCGACGTTTCCGCGCTCAGTCCAGGTTAAGGTCAAGGTCAACGTTACAGTTTTCTGTCCCTGGGGGCCTTCATTGAGGAATGTGCCAAGGAGGCTCCAGACCATGGAGGATTCGGTTTCCTCCTCCTCCTCCTCCTCTCCTCTCCTTTCTTCCTCTCCTCTCTGGAATGCCGTTGCTTTGAATTATATATGTGGCCATTTGGGCCGCATTGGATATCCGCACCACGCCCTTGCCCCTTCTCCTCCTTCTCCTTCTTCTCCTCCTCTTCCTCCTCACTGCCTCCCTTCCGCCTCCGCCTCCCCCTTAGGAATCCTTAGGAATGCACGAGTGCGCGCTGGAAAAAAGCCGCGCGAAAGTGACCGAACCTCCAGATGCTCAAGATGAAGCGGTCATGGACCAAGGCCGATGAAGGCGACCTAATCCTCAATTCTTCAAACTGTGATCGCGGAGCGATGGGGCTGGAGAACAAAGCAGAAATCTTTGGCCAAGGCACCAGTGGAGTTCCTCTGACTCCCAGACCCTGGATTCAATTGAACTTAGCACGGACATTTTGCCCTCGCAGAGAGAAACAATGCCCTCATCGTATGGTTCGACCCCGCTCGTACGTCCCGCCGAGCTCCGTCTTGTCCTTTTTGCTATCATGTCCATGTCCTTCCGCAAGTGGTCTCCCATTGCACCTTGCCCCGCTCCAGGGCGACCTGAAGGTGACGGCGGATGCGCTGAAAGAGGACGGCCATAATTGGTGCTGCAATGGTTTTTTTGTCTCCCGTATGCTCTTCCGCATGGCATCCCGTATTGTCTCCCGTATGCGTTCCCGTATGGTCGGTCTCCCGTATAGTTTCCAGTATGTTATCACGTATTGTTTTCTTTGTGCTCCCCCCTTGTGTTTTCCAGAATGGTCTCCTGCATGCCCCCCCCCCCTATGGCCTCCGGTATGGTATGCCGCATGTTCTCCCGCATGTTATCCTGCACGGTGTTCCGTCTGGTCGCTTGGGGGTCTCCCGCATGGTCTGCCGCATTTTCTCTCCCGTATGAGTCGAGTTCCCGCATTCTGTCGCGAATGGTCTCCCCTATTCACGCATGTTCTCCAGTACGGTCTCTTGCATGACATCCCGAAACTTCTCACATCATGTTTTGAAACGCCCGTGCAGCGAAATGTTGGGCCGAAGTCTGGCCGAGCCATTGGACCATATGTTCCCTCAGCCGTTGTGGAACACAGTGGGGGAACTTTTGGGAGAGCACGAGAAGGGAAGATGGAGAGGAACGAGAGGGAGGACGCGGGGGAGGAGGAAGCAGGAGGAGCCTCTTTGGAGCCATCTGGGGGAGCCTTTCAGGGGCCCCTGAGAGGCCTCTTGGGGGGCCTTCGTAGGGGCCTCCTGGGTGCTTCTGGGAGCCTCTGAGAGATCTCTCGGCCTTCGGAGGCCGTCTTGGAGCCCTCCCTGGGCAGTCGCGGGTCCGTCTTCAAGCGCTTCGGGGCCCTCCTGGAGGTCTATGGGGCCGTCTTGCCCTCCGCTGTCCACGCTCCTGCTCCTCCCTCCTCCCGCCTGGGGAGTGCCCCCTCGGAAGGACAAGGTCACCAAGAGCACGCTGAAGGCAGACTGCACCACGCGCGCGCAGGACCTGCCCGCACCCTGCGCGGGGGCAGGCGAGGATAGTGGGACGAGGCAGGGGGACACCCTCTCAAACAGATCAAGCAGCTCTCAGCGCTTCGCGTATTCCCATCAGTCCATCCAGAAGCAACTCCTGTGAGAGTTGCTTGGATGCGGAGGTTGAAGGAGTGGAGTAAGAGAAGGAGGAGGATGAGGAGGAGAAGGAGGAGGAGGAGGAGGAGGAGCAGGAGGAGGAGGAAAACGAAAACGAGAAGGAGACGAAGGAGGAGGGGGGGAGGAGGTGGAGGAGGAGGAGGAGGAGAAATAGGAGGAGGACGACGAGGAGGAGGAGGAGGGGGGGGGGGGCGCCGTCGGCTCGAAAGCAGTCTCTCTCAGCGCGGCCGGAGACGGAGGAGGAAAAGGGGAAGGAGGGGCCCCTGGTGAATGTCAGCGCCACAAAAGCCTCAGGGGCAGGTCGACCACACGCGCGCGAGCAGCGCCCTTCTCGCGCGCGCCTCAGCGTGGACGAGTTTGCAGCCCACCACTTGGGACATCGCGCGCGGCACTGTCTGCCAACGTCACGCGCATCTCAGAGGCACGCTGTCCACAGGGTGGTCCGCGGGGCCGTGGTTGAAACGCCCCCGCTCTGTATAACACTCCCTTCTCCTGTGCCTCCTCCCGCCCGCGTACGCAGGACTTCGAGGCCGAGACCAAGAGCAGAGCCGAGGAATTGAAGGCGCCAGCCTCGGAGCGGCCTGGAGCAAACTGCATGGGACCCCAGCCAGGCATCTATGGTGGGAATGGGGGCGTTGTTGTTGCGGGGGCGACGCTGCGAAAGCTCGGCGGCTTTTGAGGAGCCTACAGCAGGAACGCATGAGAAACCCATCCCGCCAGCGGCTGTTCACGATCATTTCCGATCGTTCGTATCTCCTGCACGGATCAGACGCGGCGTGCGCGACTGAGTGCGGCCGAGAGAATCCCATCCCCCAAGAGATCATTTTGCCAACGCGTGGATCCCGAACAAGGGCTCTGCGTAATCGACGGGCTGAATCCTGCGAAGTGCTATCTATCTATGGGGCGAGCCATACGGACCCAACCGGCAGCACCGGCACTTCAGCCATCGGTCGCGGAGCGGAAACAGCCGATTGCGACACAGATCGGATATAGCCAGGACCCCAGGTGAGGGGACCCGTTTAGTAGTAGGGCCCCGGAGCCCCTTAAATAGGGCAGAATCACTAAACCAGGTCTGTTGTAGCTGGTGTTTCTCGGGTGACGGCAGTTCCGGTTGGTGGAATGGGGCGGGGGGGGCGTCCCCCAGTACACATCACTAAACCAGGTCCCACTAAATCCAGTTCTGCCAACGCCCGAACAGAGGGTCAGCCATATGGCAACAACGTATAGGGCATCAGCCACAGGGCACCAAAAGGCAACAGCCGATTCCGACAGAGAGCCAGCCATAGGGCACAGGGTACCAGCCATAGGACGCGTGCCGGCAACATCCGACTGCGACTCAGACGGCCGACAATAGGACACCAGTGCGTGGGATACCGACGATAGGGTCCGACCGGGAGCGGCCGAACGGGGAATCGCGAGTCTTTCAATCAGAAAACAAGTAAGACCCCTGTGTGTGAGAACTGTTTGTAAAACTACTGTCTAGTATTATCCCCAGAGCCGCCGTCCGAACAGGCACAGTCGCACGGGAGGACGGCCGCAGAGAAAGATGCTACACGTCGCCGTCCTCGGAGCGGCGGCGTTTCAGCATGAAGGTTTTACTTCGTGTCGCCCTCGAAGCAAGTTGCATCTCGATAGTTCCTCTGCGTCTTCGCCCTCATCATCCATCTGTTTGTCCTCGTCGCCGCCTTCAGCGTCGCCGCCATCGTTGACGTCACCCCCGCTTGTTCTCCTCTTCGAGTGTTATCCTCTCCTTCTTCATGGTTCTGCCCCGCATTCTATCAGAATCCTCCTCCTTAGAGCGCTGTTTTTTCAGCATACTATGCATCCTCCTCCTCCATCTTTCCGCTTCTGCCCCTCCTGTTGGGCTCAGCATCGGCGCAATATGAATTCTACTCTCCTCTCTCCCTGGGTGCAGCGTCAGCTTGGCGCCGCCACATCCCGCATCCTGTTCGATTGGCCACAGGGTTGAGCAACGGTGGCTTCCGATACGTGTTGCTTCAATCGGGCAATCTTCCTGCTGCAGCCCTGCCCACAGCTCCAGACCTCCATGGACCTACCGCCCGTCGGAACGGCGCTCTCGTCGCAGCGCTGGCCGCACTCTTATACCAGCGCGTGGCCCTGCGTCTCCCAGAGACGGCTCCTGCGTGTCGTGCTTCGCTGGGTGTGGTCACAACGATCTGGTGTGTGTGCACGTGTCGGTGTCGTCCAGCCGCCCTCAGTTTGTCCGCTCTCGCCCCAGCGCTGCTCGCATTCCTGAGCTGGCGCGTGTCTGGTCCCCGTCTCAACTCCTACCTGGTAGGTTTTCATGCTGTTCCTTGCCGGGTGTCGTGACACCTTCGTGATGCGTGGGAAAGTTGTTTGCACTGCTCGTGTTCGATACGTCATTTGGCTTCGGTGCTGGTCACCTTCACGCCAGGATCGTTCCCTGATGCTTCAAAAAGGCGTCCCCGTTTCGGCGTCGTCGTCTTTGCCCCCTGTCTGTCACGCCCTCCACGGCCCTTCCTCCTTCTTCGGTTCTTCCTATCCATCACGTTCATTGTACTCAATGGCTTACTCTGTTCTGATCCCCATGCTCGCCTCTCAGATGTCACGGCCATTCTGACCGTGGCACTCCTCACATCGCACCATGTACATCATCCTCTTCGACTAGTTGTGCTTCGCCCTGCGTCGTCTTCTCCATCGTCCGCCCTCTTTCCATTTGTTTCGTCACCTTCCGGGAGCTCTTCGACGCTCGACTCTGCGAGCAAAGGGTGGGCTTAATGCAATGGTGAGGCATGGGCGGGAGGGGTGAAATGTCGGACGTGGCGCGGGCGCACCGACGGCTAAAGGACAAGGTCCTTCACCTTTTATATGTCACTTCGTGGGAGCGCCCCCCGAGCCCCCAATTTGATATCGGCTTGCTGCGCCGGGATGCCTCGATCTGCCGACTGGCCGAAATCCTGCGCACCGCTGGCGATGCCAACCAACATTGAATTGGGAGACAGGGGGGCGCGCTGAAATTTGCACCCGCTTCCCTGTCGCGCGGGTGTTGCAGGGTTTTGCGCATCAGTTTGAACCTTATGTTGGTTTAGTGATTGCAATGGCCTCCGGCCAATGCCGCCGATCCGGGGGCGTCTGGGCCCGATCGTTCAGCGATTGTGTAGGGCCTAAGAGGTCCTGAGTTCTACATGTTGACGTGTCCGAGGCACCCTAGAAAGCGGAGCACAGGCGCAGCAGGTGTGTCCCCCCCTCTCCCTTCCCCGGCAGAGCCATCCCGGCGACCCCCCCCCCCAGCAGAGCTGAAGCTCAGGCTCTAGGCTCTAGGCTGTAGCTTAGGGCTTTCTGAACCTCACACGCCAGATAGGCGGATTTACGGCTCTCTCTCGCTCTCCTTCTTTTTCTCTTGCTTCTTCCTCGTCTCCCCGCCCCCGCCTCGCCCGCCTCTTCCGCCCGCCCCTGCGCGCGGACCGCGAAGACTGGCTCCCTGGAGAGGGTGGAGGAGGAATATGAGGAGGAGGAGGAGGAGGAGGAGGAGGAGGACGAGGAGGAGGAGGGGGAGGAAGGGGAGGAGGAGGAGGAGGAGGAGGAGGAGGAGGAGGAGGAGGAGGAGAGAGGAGGAGGAGGAGGAGGAGGAGGAGGAGGAGGAGCCTGCGAGGACCCGGAGGAGGTGAGGAGGAGGAGGAGGAGGAGGAGGAGGAAGAGGAGGAGGGCGATGAGGAGGAGGACTTGGAGGGAAGGGGATGGCATCCCATGTGGATCCGCATCTCTACAGCGTCAGCGTCACGGGGAGTAGGTGGGGGAGGAGGAAGAAGTGAGGGAGCAAGTGGAGGAGGAGGAGGAGGAAGCGGACGAGGAGGAGGAGGACGAGGAGGAGGAGGAGGAAAAGGAGGAGGAGGAGGAGGAGGAGGAGTAGGAGGAGGAGGACGAGCAGGAGGAGAGGGATACGTAGGAGGAGGAGAAGGAGAAGGGGGGGAGGATGAGGAGGAAAGGCAGGAGGAGGGAGGAGGGAGGATGAGAAGGAGGATGAGGACGAGTAGGGGGAGGAGGAGGAGGACGAGGAGGAGGAGGAGGAGTGAGAGGGATGATGATGCTGCTGATGATGATGATGGTGATGATGATGATGATGATGATGATGATGATGATGATGCTAATGATGCTAATGATGATGCTGATGCTGATGCTGATACTGATGCTGATGCTGATGCTGATGCTTATGCTGATGGTGCTGATGGTGCTGATGATGCTGATGATGCTGATCAAGCTGATCAAGCTGATGATGCTGCTGATGCTGATGATGATTACGCTGATTATGATGCTGATGATGGTGATGGTGATGATGATGATGAGGAGGAGGAGAAGGAGGAGGAGGACAGGGCGAAAGAGGAGAGGGAGACGGAGGCAGGAGAGGGAGGCGGAGGATCAGGAGGAGGTGGAGGCGGAGGAGGAGGCGCACGAGTTGCGGGTAGAGAAGGCTTTCCCCCCCCGCCCTTGCGCGCGGCGCGCGGGGGGGACGGGAGGTCCGAAGCGCCTCTCTGGCGCACGGAGATGACGAGGATGATGACGATGGTGACGACGCTGACGACGACGAAGTGTCGAAAACGACGATGCCGAAAGACGATGACGATGACGTCTGCGAGTATGGTGATGACGACCTCTAACGACGTCGAACGACGACGACGTCGAACGACACCGACGACGTCGAACGACGACAATGACGACGTCGAACGACGATGACGACGTTGTCGACCACGACGATGGCGATGATGATGACAATGATAGCTATGACATCGATCGACGTCGAACGCCGACGACGTTGAACGACGACGATGATGACGACGATGGTGATGATCGTCATGATGATGATCATCATCATGATGCTATTGGCGATGATGACGACGATGGCGATGACGTCGGTCGACGTCGAACGACGACCACATTGAACGACGACGACGTCGACGACGACGACGTCGACGGCGACGATGATGATGATAATCATGACGATGATGATCAGCACTATCATCAGCAGCATCATCATCGTCATCGTCATGACGATGATGTCGATGCTGATGTTGATGATGATGGACATGATGCTGTGGATAGTGATGACGACATCGACGACGACGAAGACGACGACGTCGAAGGACGACGGTCTGGCGAACGACGACGACGATGGTGATGTCGAACCTGCGCGCGCGCGGCAGCGGGTCTGGTGGAGGCCCTCGCCGAGGCGAAGAAGGCAGCTGGGCTCTCCCCTGCGCCGATGCAGCTCGAGTTACGGTCGGCGTTGGACGCACGCGCACAAGACGAGGATGACGGCGGCGTCGACGGGACGGCGACGAGCAGCGTCCTTCCCGCTCCGCCGGCGCCTCCTTGCGACGAGTCGGCAAGAGAGACTACGGCTGGCCTTGGAAAGACAGTGTGCGTCATGTGGCGCCGCTGGCCCGCGCATGACGCGCGATCTCTCTCTCCACCTTGGGGAGAGCGTGCGCCGAAGAAGCGCTGGCAGGGGGTCGCGCGTGCAGAAGGGGCCCTCGCGGGCGGGGATCGCCCCAGAAGGTCGGCGCGTGTTCCGGAGATCCGTGTTGCAGCACGCAGTCTTCCCAGCGCCAGCCGGAAGACAATCGAGCCAGACGAGCAAAGCACGTCGATGCAGCTGTTTGCCACGAACCACGGCATGTCGAGTCGGTTCCCATACCATCCTTAGTAAACTTACCGTGCAGTTTTCTTAATGCGGATTGCGATTTAGGACGTTATTTTGCTATGGGAGTGGCGGGAGTGAGACCAGGGATTTTAATCCTTCTCGCATGCCGCGGGAGAGATGGGGGCGCATGGTATGTCAGTTGTTTGTCCTTGCTTGCATTTGCATGACCATGTCAAGCATCGTTTAACTCTTCACATTTGAGGCTGCAGCCGTCTAGGGGCGAAGCGCATCTTGTTTGAACAAGCCCCGAAGCCTGAAGCTCCTTGAACATCGCGGACGTGGATGCAGTCGTTTGTCAGTATCGGGCTGATGTTTCGTCCCCTGCAGGACTCTTCTGAGTCAAATCGATTACCGACGATGTGCATTCAAACGGGTATATGAGCGTTGCCCCAGCACCTGCGCAAGAGGTCGTGATGAAAAAATCCATGTCTGGGCCCTCCCTACGTTAGCCTGCGCTTCCAGGTTTGGGGATACCGTCTGCGAAAAAGATCAGGACAAGTGCTCCACGCTACACTGGCGGACACTTCGTGCCCTAGCGCTTTTTCTAACAAGTCATTGTTCTCCCTCGGCGCTCTATAAGAAGCAGCTGGGCGAATGCTTGAAGAAAATGTGAGTTTGAGGAAGGTTCCGTTTGTATGACGACTGTAGGTGGAGACTGATCGTATACTGGTCTCCTGCGGAAGATTGCGCAACACTCTGTAGCACGCCGCCTTTGCTGCATCCTCCTCATCTTCCTCCTCCCCGTCTCCTCATCCGTCTCCGCCCCGTCATCCGGTTCCTCTTCCTCTGCATACTGTTCCTCCTTCTCCTTCTCCGTCTTCATCTCCCGCTTCTTTCTCATCCCACCCGTCCGTCTTCATCTCGCTATTCCTTCTCATACCCCTCCTTCTCCTCCCCCTCCTCTTCCTTCTCCTCCCTCTTGTCCTTCCTACTCATCATCCTCATCACCATCATCATCAGCATCATGCGCGTCAGCATCATCATCATCGTCCACCTTCATCCGTAGCCATATTGGACCAAGGCGTTTCAGTTGAAAGGCCCAGCTGGGTCTTTTGATTGGTAAGGGCTCATCGTGACTGCACAGCGTGAGTTTTCCGCCACAACTCCAATAGTCAAGTCTCTTCTAGCCCCGCTTGTTGATTTCCTGCATCATCATCCACCTCCTCAGCACTTATTTTTCCAGTTCTTAACTTATCACCCCTTCTTCTACGTGTATGCCTCCTCGTCCCCCCCTTTGCCCGTTAGCACAGGTCATCGATAGTCATCGCCATCGTCATCAACCACACACGGGGAACAGAAAAAACACACACAGTGGGGGAAAAGAAGACACACACACAAACACACGTGGAGGAAACGGAAAAACACACAGGAGGAGCCGTACAAGGTTGGTGTGTGTTTTGTGTGTATGTTTTGTGTGTGTGTGTGTGTGTGTGTGTGTGTGTGTGTGTGTGTGTGTGTGTGTGTGTGTGTGTGTGTGTGTGTGTGTGTGTGTGTGTGTGTGTGTGTGTGTGTGTGTGTGTGTGTGTGTGTGTGTGTGTGTGTGTGTGTGTGTGTGTGTGTGTGTGTGTGTGTGTGTGTGTGTGTGTGTGTGTGTGTGTGTGTGTGTGTGTGTGTGTGTGTGTGTGTGTGTGTGTGTGTGGTGTGTGTGTGTGTGTGTGTGTGTGTGTGTGTGTGTGTGTGTGTGTGTGTGTGTGTGTGTGTGTGTGTGTGTGTGTGTGTGTGTGTGTGTGTGTGTGTGTGTGTGTGTGTGTGTGTGTGTGTGTGTGTGTGTGTGTGTGTGTGTGTGTGTGTGTGTGTGTGTGTGCGTGCGTGCGTGCGTGCGTGTGTGTGTGTGTGTGTGTTTTCGTTTCCCCCGTGCTTGTTTGTGTGTGTGTGTGTGTGTTTTTTTTGTGTGTGTGTGTGTGTGCTTTCTTTTCCCCCAGTTGTCTGCTCCCTATTTCCATTCAAGGCCGCAGCTAGAGCGCAGCGTCGTACTGAAGCAGGCAGCGGTTGAGCCGAGCGTGCAGCTGCATTCTGGGATCGGCCTGGCGGACACAGGAGGTAGGAAAGAGGAGGAGGAGGTGATCGGGGAATCTATGAGGAGGAGGAGCGCGAGGAGGAGGAGGAGGAGGAGGAGGAGGAGGAGGGCGGAAAGCGATAGGGGGCGGATAGTGGAGTGGAACAGGCCGAAGGATGTGCGCACATCCATTGTGTTCCTTACTCCGGCACAAGGGGGTGCATGCCTAAACTTCGGTGGAGGCCTGACGCGAAACGTCAAGCGTGCAGCGGAGAGCTGGGGCCACAGAGTTGAGTATGTATACGATGCGGGATCATGCGCCAGCGTCAACTTTAAAGTGACGTCATGCTTGTGGCTATCAGACCGTGTGTTAGTATTGCGTGCTCGTTTACCAGCCTCATTGTTTGTCCGATTGCGTTGTGTTGCTTGCTTGCTTGCTGATTGTTTTCTGCCTGCTGACGGGCGTACTTCTTTGCGTGCGTGCTCGTCCGCTCATTGGCTTGCGTCCTAGTTTGCGCGTGTGTTATGGCTCTTGCGTGCCCCTGCATGCTTGTCAGGATGCCTGCTAGCTCGCGATTGCTCGCGCTTGCTTACCCTTTTGGATGCTTGCTGGCTCGCTCTTGCTTGCCCGTGCCTGCCTGCCAGCCCAGTTGCTTGCTCGCGCCCGCTTGCGGTTGATTGGGGCACTGGCGAGCGCGTCGAGCGTGACACAAAGCGAGCATGCAAAAGCGAAGCAAAGGCAAGCCCTAACTTCGGCCGTGTCAAGCGGCAGCAGCAGCCCGCAGGAGGGATCCAACGCCCCCCCCCCCCCAGCGGCACGCTGCATCGCCCACAGCTCAACGCCCGCGAGACTATTGCGACGAATCGGCGCTGGCGGTGCGAAGCAGAGCGCCCCTTGTCGCTGAGTGTCTTGTCATAGGTGACCCTCCCCACCAGGGTGCCTCTCGACGGCGCGACGCCGAGCACCTCCTCCTCCTCCTCCTCCTCCTCCTCCTCCTCCTCCTTCTCCTCAGCTCCTCCCCCTCACCGCCTCTCTCTCTCTCTCTAGCTCTCGCTCTCGCTCTCCCGCTGGCCGCGCCCGATCCCTTCCCTTCCAGCTCCCGCACCTCCAGGCCGTGAAGGAGTCGACCGAAGGCGCCAACAGCCTCGCGTGCCCCTCGGCCCCAGCATCCTCCTCCCGCGCCTCCCCTGTTTTCCCTCCGTGTTCCCCCTTGTGCGTCCCCCCGTTTCTGCCCCCGTCGTTCCCAGATCCGTCCCTCCGACTCCCTCCCCTTGCCATCCTCCTCGTCTGCCTCTCCTCGAACTCCTCTCCTCGTCGCTCCTCTCCTCTCCCGCTCCTCTGCCTCCTCGTCCGTGGCAGTTTTGGCTCCCGGCTCCAGGTCTGCGCGGGCGATGCCCGCGGGCTCTCCAGGACTCTGCCGCTGGTCCGCGGCAGTGTCTCAGATTGTGTCTGCTCACACGCTGGACGTTTCAGGCGGTCGTGCTGCACACGGGTGGCGCTCTCACGCATGGGCGACTCTGCCTCTGTGGCGCAGAGAAGGCGTTGGCTGGGCCTACACGCCTGCCGCGGCGACAGCGGGCACCCGGTGGCCAGGATGGATGATTCCAGAGATGGCAGCGCCAGAGACGCCTCAGCAACACCTCGCCGCATCCGTCGCAGTTCCTGCTTACTAAATTATAGAACTTCGCGTAACCCCACCAGCCCATCCAGAAACGATGCCCAGAGGAATTGCCTCGATGAGGGAAGTGGGCAGCACACAGAGGATGAATTCCCCAGTGGAGGCATCTTGGAGCGTCTTGGGGGCCTCTTGGCGGTCCCGGACGCCTCTTAGAGCGTCTTGGGTGCCTCGCAGAGCTTCTTGGGGCCTCTTGGGGGTCTCTTGGGAGTCTCTTGGGGGCCTCTTGGGCGCCTGTTGGGGCCTCCTGGGGCCTCCTGGCCGCCTCTTGGGGCCCTCTTGAAGCGCTCTTGGGAGCCTTGGGAGCGCTCTTGAAGCCCTCTTGGGCTATCTTGGAACCGTCTTGAGGCCTCGGATGGCCATCGGAAGCGAAAAGGCGACAAAGCCAACACACATTCATTGTTCTAAGGTTTGGGAAGGATTTGGGCCTCTTCGGGGCCTCCTGGGGGAGCTCTTTGGCCACTTGGAGCCGTCTTGGAGCGGTCTTGGGGCCTCTTGGAGCAGCGTGGGAGCCATCTTGAGGCGTCTTGAGATAGCTTGAGTCATCTTGGAGGGCATCTTGGGCTCTCCCAGGCGCTCTTGGAATCATCTTAATCAGTGCCCCCCCCCAGAAGGCCCAAATGTGGCCAAAACCTTAGTAAGATCAATGGTTGTGGCATTCTCCCGAGGCCTCTTGGAGCGTCTTGGGTGCCTCGCAGAGCTGGGGGTCTCTTGGGAGCATCTTGGGGGCCTCTTGGGGGCCTCCTGGGGGCCTCTTGGGGCCTCCTGGCCACCTCTTCGGGCTCTCTTGGGGCACCCTTGAGAGCCTTGGGAGCGCTCTTGGGGCCATCTCGGAGGAGATCGATCAAAGAAGGGGGGCTCCCTCATTAGCCTCCCCCCACCAGGAGGCCAACATGGGGCCAAAACCCCCTAGTAAAACCAATGATTTTGACTTCCTAGCCGAAGCCGTTTTGGACGCTCCAACTACCCGCGGAACCCCCCGTCCAGGTTCAGGGGAGGGGGTAGGGGGAGGGGTCAAGCTACCCACCCGCCCGCAAGCCGTCTAGCTCACCCCCACCCGCCCTCCCAACACACAAAGTAACACCCGAGCCTGAGCATGTTCAGCCGTCGTCTTTGGATGGGCAGCTACTGGGAACCCAAACCGACCCCGTGTGCGCGACGCTGGGGCGAGGTGCGCCACACGTGCCAGGCGCGCAACGCGCGCCAGGCACCCCTTGGGCCCGAGCGTGGCAGGCACGCCTGGTGAGCCAGATGTGCCACGTGCCTCCGCGTGGACCAGGTGTGCCGCATACTCCAGCCGCACTAGGTGCGCCACGTTAGGGGCACATGCAGAGTGTGTGAGGTGCGCCTGCGCGCGTGACAGCACACACATCAGGAAACATGTCGGCCCCCACCATCCTTGACGAAAACCAGTACCCATCATTGTGTCTGGTGGGTCTGCGCACAGCAGGCTATACGCCACCACCCCCGCCGTCCCTGTCAAAAGCCACTTGACAGTGATCGCGGGGTGGCCGCGCATGATCCAGACTTAGCCGCGAGGTGCGTTTGCTATTGTTTTCGGTTAGGGATTGTAGCCCTGCACACAGCAGAGGCAATATGCTGACACCCCCGCCGTCCTTGTCGAAAACAATACAAAGTGTTCGCGGGCCTCACGAACATGATTCAAGACTTTGCCCAAAAGTGCTTTTGGACAGGCTTGGTGGGGGGGGGCCGCATCGGTTTGGCCGCGCATGCTCCAAATGTGAAGGCAGGGTGCGTTGTGGACTGTTTTCAGACAGGGGTGGTGGTGGGGTCCTCATGGCTCCTGGTTGGCAACCGGTCGCCTGGGGGAGGGGGTGTATATTAATAGGGAGCAGTGATAAACCCCTCCCCGAATGGGAAGAGGGAGAGGTGGAAGAAGAAACGCACTAAACCACCTACGCCCTAAAGGGCTGGTGGGATTTGTTGGATTCACCCCTTGCCCTTATAAACAACTCTTCCCTGTCGCACCTCCAGAAGTGTCCGTAGGGCGAGTCGGGGGTTTCGCCGAAGGCTTCTTCACCAGTCATGATTCAGAGCTTTGATCCTGGTGGCAGGTTTCAAGGATGCAGAGCAGGCCGCGTTCAGAGTGTGGCTCGAGCGCTGCGCGCATTCGTCCCAAATGCCTGCGGGAGTTTCGGGTATGGAAGCAAGGTCGTTTTCAAAATGGTGTTCTCGCCGGAGCGCCGCGCGCGTTCGCCTTTGCAGTGAGCAGCCGCCAGGTGGTGCTCCCGCCCTGGCGCCGCGCGCACGCACCGCAAGGCTTCGCCACGGCTGCAGGTGGAGGGTGTCTCCGAAGGGCTTAGGCGACCCATCCCCCTCCTCCTCCCTCCTCCCTCCTCCTCCTCCTCTTCCTCCTCCTCCTCCTCCTCCTCCTCCTCCTCCTCCTCCATCTCCTCCTGCCCCTCCTCCACCTCCTCCTCCTCCTCCTCCTCCGCCTCCTCCTCCGCGGGTCGCCTACGGCCCTGGGGGAAACCGTGCAGCTACAGGGACGGAACACGGGCAGTTCTTCAAAATGGGTCTATCGCCTCAGTGCCGCGCAGCAGAAAGCCAAGCATCCGGCAGGACGCCGAGACAGAAGACAGCGCAATTGGCTATCCCTCGTAGGAAAGAGGCATGCGTGGGAGGCGCTGCGGAAAGTTGTCGCTTCTGCACACTTGCAGGAGGCACGGGGGTGCAAACTCGCTTGTTGGTGCAAGCTGTTCATCCGTTGGGGATCTCCTTGCCACGGCCACAGGGACAGAGCACGGGTAGTTCTTCAGAATGGGTCTCTCTCGCATCCGTGCCGCGCGCACTCGTTTGTTCGATGCGAGCTGCTCGTCCGTTGGAGATTTTCCGAAGGAGGAGGAGGAGGAGGAGGAGGAGGGGGAGGAGGAGGAGGAGGAGGAGGAGAAGGAGGAGGGGGAGGAGGAGGAGGAGGAGGAGGAGGAGGAGGAGGGGGGAGGGGGGGGGAGGAGGGGGGGGGGGGCTCGCCCTGGGCGAGGCCCCGGCGGGCCAGGGCCCGCCTCCCTCGCGGGGTACGCGCTGCCCTCGGGAGTGGCCTAGAGGGGGGTGATGACGGGGGGGGGGATCTCACGGCAGGGGAGAGACGCGGTGGGGGCGTTCGTGGAGGAACGTGCCCAGCGCCTCCTGAGAAGCGGGCCTCGTCTGCAGATGTAGGGCCCGCGCCTTCTAAGAAGCCCCCTTCCCCCTAATTACGGTGGGGGTATTGGTTAAGGAATCCGCCCAGGAGGCTTCAGACCCTGGAGGGTTCCCTACATGATGAGGGCGGCGGTGATATTCATGGCCCACCCCTGATTGGACTTCCACCAGCTTCCAGTCCCTGGATTCCTTACGCCATGGATCCCTACACAGCACCCTCACCGTATCATGGCAGGGGTCATGATACTCGAAGGAGGAACAAACATGCCGCAAGCTAAATTTTTGGCGCTCCGCACGGGTTTCTCGGATTCGCGCTCGCTGGGCCCCCCCCCCCCGCGGGCAGCGCGCTCCTCCAGCGCCCCCCCTGGCTGGCGCGCTCGGCGCGCCAGAAAGAGGGGGTACGGCGCAGATCCAATAAATCCGCGCGGAGCTCCAACAATCTGTGTTTGTGGCGTTCTTCTTTTTCTGGGCAAAGGCCATGATATGCCCCCCGGAGACCACCGCCCCCTCTTTTTGTTTCGACGCGTCCCTTGGGCCCCCTCTGGGCCGCGTGTGCGCCTCGGGCCGCGATCTGCGAACCCCACCCCCAGACGCCCCCCTCTTGGACGTCCCGTCCCCGCTTCCTCCATGACAGCCGAGAGATCTTCAGAGCAGCCAGCATGGCGACGAGGCTCACCCGCTCACCCCCACAGGGGTGCGCGCGCGGGTGCTCCGCCGAGGTATGGGTTTGCGCAGACCTCCTTCCTGCAGCTGGTGCGGTCCGACCTCAAGACTGGGGCGGGGCTCCTACCAGCGCTCTGCTCTCCTCGCGTTGGTGGCCCAAGCGCCAGGAGTAGACATAGGCCGCTCATTGCAGTCACATTCGTTCACAAGCTAGTCATATTGTCGACCGTTATCTTTATACCTGCGCAACTACTCCCATCTTCACTTTCATACGTGCACCTATATATATATATATATATATATATATATATATATATGTATGTATATAGTATGGGTCCTGATGTATCCCCCTTGGACACCCCTGGACACACTTTGATTCGCGACGTCTACCCATGTCAAAGCGGGGGCATATAAGACACGGTAGTGATTCAATGAGAGTGAGAGAGATGTAGAAACAGACAAAAATCGTATATATGTATATGTGTACAAGAGACAGGCAGACAGACAACCAAACATCCAGACAGGCAGACAGAGTGGAAGAAGCAGTTACGATTACAGGATCGTCAGAAACCTCAGAGGAACCCTCAACAACGGAGTCCTTACTGAAGGCGTCTCTCCAAGCTGAAGGTATCCATGCTGAAGAAAGTCTAGAGGAGGAGACGTCAGTGAAGGAATGCGACAGAAATCATTGGTAATAATATTCCTGCTGGACGAACCAGGTATACAGACAGCTCAAACAAATGAGCTCTTGCCAAATGAACATGCCCGAACGAATCATCACTAAGGAACCTTTAATGCGTAATCCTTGGGTCAGGGGCCCTTACGCAGGAATGTTCAGCAAACCGATGTTTGAGCGCAAGTGGCCTTATTCAAGAACCGTAGGTTGCTAATTTCCGTGATAGGGGATCATTGGTTCAAAGGGGTCTCTACAATGAAACAGTCTTTGCATGAATATTCGCGGAAGAACTATCATTGAAGAACTATTGAAGGAATGCTCGGTCAGGAGATCCTTTCTGAATGCGTCTCTGGCGCAGGGGCCGTGCTAAAGAAACCTGTTTCGATTAGGGGGGTCTTTACTCACAAAATGCTTACGCCAGTCTCCTTACGAACTAACCCTTACGCACGCGTTGAAGGAACCCCCTACCACATCAAGGATCATTTAGCAAGGGGCTCTTATGAAGGAGCCCGTATTTAATGAGGCAATCGTTAACTGATCTTTAGCAAGGAGCCTTGCGACGGATAGTTCCTGAAGGAAACCATGCCAGAAAGGATCCTTCCAAATGGGGCATTTGTTGGATGAATCCGAAATGAGGAATTCGTATTGAGGGAACACTCAAGGAGCCCATGGCCTGAACATCCTTCCTGAACGAGTTGCACCATGACGCATCAGTACCCCCTGGGGGGGTGCAATGTATATGTGATCCTGCCCCATCGCCCATCTTAAAATTGAACTCGTACCATCCCAGCCAGGCCGGAGTCCGCCGCCCCCCCCCCGATCTTCCGCAACAGAAATGTTATGCGCGCGCTCGTTTATCAAAAACCATCAGTCTCCAACAATTTGCCGCAACAAATGTGACGAAGTGCGCACACGCGCGTCGTCGCACGCGCGTGCCGACATCCTTCAACAATATCATGTGTCGTGGGGATGTCAAAAACGAGTGTGCCGAAAACATATAAACAGTCCGCTGTTTCGCAACAGGGGTTTTCAAGAAAAGCTTTCGCCCGCGTTCTCGCGATTTCTCGACAAACTCGCAAGTTGTTCTACATCTTCGTAAAATGCTACCAGACGGCCCTCTCGCGCGCACATGTCGAAATCGCTCGAACGGCCTTGCGCACGTACTGTCGCAAGAACCTTTTGCAACACGAATAGACGAAGTGCACGCGCGCGCGCGTCGCGCGCGCATGCCGACATCGTATGCCCCGAAGAAGCATAAACCGCATGGTTTTGCAACATCAGTTTTCAAAACAATCTGCGCGCGCTCTTGCGAATTCCTTCCAAAAAACGGAGGTTCCTCAACATTGCCATCACATTCTGCCAAGCGGGCCTCCCGCGCGCCGCATGTCGAATTCATTCGAACGTTCCGTGTTTGGGGGCACGATCCGTGGCAAATAATACTACGCGGGCCACTCGCGCGCGTCGGCCGCGCGCGCATGTCAAACTCCTTCCAACACTTTGATCATCGACGCGAGGACATCATCATCGTTCTTGGCGGGCGTGATCAGCATCGGCGCCGTCACTGGCCTTGCCGTCGTCATCGCCACCATTGTTACCATTATCCGTGCTCTCATCATCGTGTCTACCATTGCCGGCGTCGCCATGATACCGCGCTCGCCCAAGTCGCCGACTCGCACTGAAGTGCCCGCTGGAAGTGCCCAGCGGTCAGCGCCACCGCGGCCGCGTCGGTCGCGCCGCACTAGGTGGTCGCTGCGCGCGCGAGGATGCGCGGGCTAATGCGGCCGCACAGATGCACCAGCCAACGCCAAATACTCATTGCAATCGCCGTCGCATGGGTTTTGCAAACTAAGTTGCGGGTGGGTGGGTGGTATGTTTGCGCGCGCAGTGGAGTTGACAATTTCGGCAATCTGAATTGCACCACGCAGACTGCACCACATGTTTTGCACAACCTAGCTCGCACCACATCGATAGCACAACAGAGGTTGCACCACGCGAATTGCACCGCATAGGTTGCACCACGCATCTTGCAACCCACAGATCGCGCCACATGTTCTGCACAACGTCGGATTGACCACCGCACTTGCACCACAGATATTGCACCACATAGATTGCTCCACACTGGTTGCGCCACGCATGTTGCTGGAAAGACATTGTCTGGGGCCCACGCTGGCTGACGCGCCCTTCCATTATAATTGGAACGTGGCGTTCAATCGGCTCCACAGGGTTGGTAGGGCGGCTTTCGGGTGCGCGCGCGGCGACGGGATGTGGTCGGCCCTGGAAAGCACTCAGACAGCAGAGGAGCACGCTACACCGTGCAGAAGGCCCCGCGGCAGATCGCTGGAGACTGTGTGCTCTCAGTTTGGCACCGGACGGGGTTTGCCCGACAGTTCCTGACATGAAGGCCGTGTTCCTCCGATGGTCTAAAAAGCCGTCGTTTTTCCAGGCCTTTTTCGTCATCGTCATTCTCATCCTTCTCATCCATTCCGCTTGTCTTCCTCTCTCGCTTTGCTTCGCATGCTGTGGCCATCGATCGGGATGCGCCGCGCCAAAGGCGGACCTGGCGAACTTCGAGGCTGTGCGCTACGTGCGCGGGCCGCCACCGAAAACGGGCAGAGGACGTGCCGCAAGCAGTGGCGTCCGGCATAGTGCCTGATAACCTAGGTCCGTGTCGTGCCGAAGCGGCTGCGACCCCAGCGCGGGCGTTCAAGGCTGACCGACGCCAGTGGCTCAGACCCGGCCGATACCGAACGATCTGCGCCGTTGGGCTGAACGATCCACGCGGCGCCTGAAGCTAGCGCCGAAGTCGAGGAGGAGAAGGGGGGGCACAAGCAAAGGGAGGAGGAGGAGGAGGAGGAAGAGGAGGAGGAGAAAGAGGAGGAGGAGGAGGAGCAGGTGGAGGAGGAGGGAAGAGGAGAAGGAGGAGGAGGAGGAGGAGGAGGCGGGAGAAGGAGAAGGAGGGAGGAGGGAGGGGGGGGAGGAGGAGAAAGGACTTAGAGGAGGAGGAGGCTGAGGGAGGAGGCGCGTGGATGGAGGGAGGAGGAGAAGGAGGAGGAGGAGTAGGAGGAGGAGGAGGAGAGGAGGGAGGAGGAGGAGGGAGGAGGAGGAGGAGGGGGAGAGGAGGGAGGAGGAGGAGGAGGAGGAGGGAAGAGGGAGGAGGAGGAGGAGGAGCAGGAGGAAGAGGAGGAGGAGGAGGAGCAGGAGGAGGAGGAGGCGGGAAGAGGAAGGAGGGAGGAGGGGGGGGGGAGGAGGAGAAAGGACTTAGAGGAGGAGGAGGCTGAGGCGCGTGGATGGGGGAGGAGGAGAAGGAGGAGGAGGAGTAGGAGGAGGAGGAGAAGGAGCAGAGGGGAGGAGGAGGGGGGGAGGAGGAGGGAGGAGGAGGAGGGAGGAGGAGGAGGAGAGGGAGGAGGAGGAGGAGGAGCAGGAGGAAGAGGAGGAGGAGGAGGAGCAGGAGGCGGAGGGAGGAGGCAGGAGGAGGGTGGAGGGAAAGAGGAGGGAGGGGGGACGAGGAGGAGGGAGGAGGGAGGAGGGAAGGAGGGGGCGGGAGGATGCGGGAGGGGGGAAGGAGGAAGGATGGAGGAGGAGGGAGGAGGGAGGAGGAGGGAGGAGGGAGGAGGATGAAGGAGGAGGCGCAGGAGGAGGAGGAGGAGGAGGAGGTGCCAGAAGCACCAGTGTCGGAGTTGCCAGGGCTGCTCTGCGCGTGGTCGGGGCCAAGGCGTGGCACGGATCGGCGGCGAAATCCGAGCCTTGCCCTCGCTGATCAACGATTCAGGCAATTGGATGGACGGCGGGGGTAGGGCTCGTGGGAGGAAAAGGTACCCATACTCGGAAACTGGAACAGATACTGTACCAGTGGCGGGCTGTTTCTCAATCCCAGGACTTGTTGAGGGTCGGGGACGACGTCGGGGTGGTGTGGTGTATACTTTTTCCCCGTTTCCCCAGGGAGACCACGAAACATGTATACAATAGGATCCCGTATACACCATGATCCGCTTTCCTGCGCGAGTTTCAGTGCGGGGCCAAAAAGCGTCTGTGTATAGAGGTAGTTCGGCTCCTTACACACCGCTACCCTTCGCCCGTTTCCCCCTTTTTCGCCATCCTGGGAGGCCCTCGCCGCCACCGCTGGATTCGCCTCGGCTTTCTGGTCAGAACGCACCCCGAGAGAGGTCCGGGAAGCAGCGTATCGGTACTTTTTGATTTCCGCAAGGGTGCGGGAATTCGTCGAACACGCGGCGAACTCCGATCCCTACCCCCGCCTTATGATGTTTCGACCCACTGTAGCCCTGATCACCAGAAAGAATTTCGAGCACCAAGAAAGCATCGAAATTGCTTGGTTTTCGCGTGCCGGGCCCTGGGAGGCGGCACTCGCTCGGCACTTCGCCAGTGCGTCGGGCAGACACCGTTTCGATACTTCTCGGGGCGCTCGGACTCCTCTCTGCCATGCATACAGGCCTCGGAACAAATTAGCGAACACGTGCCACATTTACCCGTCAACGCCTCCCCCTCCCCCCAATGTTCAAAGTTGGCGGTGGGTCTGATGAGATGCACTTCGACCGCAGTCTCCCCCGCGCGTGCCAACATTGAGTTTGGGGGGGATGGCACCTAGCCGGCCGGCAGGGCGAGGCCGCGCCCGGGGCCCCGAGCCGCCGCGCCCACACGCACACGGTCGGAGAGACAGAGCGCCGAAAAAAAAAAAAACATTGAGTTTGGGGGGGAGGGGGATTGTTCAGTAATTGTTTCCCTCTACCGTAGCCCCCGGCTCCCATCGATCCATGCGAATCGACCGCTGGCGGGGCCAGGGCTCGGGTGCCGCCGCCCGGGGGAGGGCAGGCGCCGCCCCTGGCCCTCGGGGGGGGGCCTCCCTCGCTGCTCGTGCCGCGCACGGGGCGCCCTCGCCCCGCCGAGGGGCCCTTTGGGGCCCTCACGGAGCGGTCCCCGCTCGCAGCAGGCCGCGGGAGAGAGTGTGCGTCTGGGGCCCCGGTCGTGCTGCTGCGGATCGGCCCCCGCTCGGGGGTGCCTTCGGCGGCCTCTGCGACGCCCGGGGGGGGGGGGCACACCCCCTCTGCCTCGGCCACGTCCTTCTCAGGAGGGAAAAAAAACACAAACACAATTTATCGTCGATCCCCCGGAAAATAATGGGAAAATATGGGAAGTGGGGGGGGAAGACAAAAAATCCCAAAATATTGGAAAATATGTGGGATCTTTTTATTTGTGTGTATTTATTTGTGTGTCCTGGGGCCCCTTCACCTTCTCCAGGCTCCTCGTCCGGCTCCGAGGTCGTCCTCCCCCCCCCCTCTCCCTCTGCACCTCCTCCTGCTCCTGATGTTCCTCTACCGCGTCGCCCTCTTCATCACGATGCGCACCGTTGCTACGACTTCGCATGCTCGCTTGCCTTTGACGGTTATCATTCATACTACGCATGTATGTGTAATATGCTATCATGTTCTTGGCGTCCCTCTCCGCTTCCTGTGTCCCAAGTTGTTCCAGGCGTGCCCCGCCCATAGCCCGACTGGCGCCTGCACCGGCTTCGACATGCTTGCTCCGGAATCTAACATGTGATATATGTATATACATTTATAGATATAGACATACACATATACAGGTACATATACAACTTCATATATACATATACATATATATATATATATATACAAGACTGCATTGGCGCTGCCCGCCATGCACCTTGGTCCTTTGGAATTCGCACGCTAGCGGAGTGCGAGCGTGCGCACATTTGCACACGCATGCGTCTATGAATGCATAGTACATATGTACATACATGCATACGTTGTATGGATATGTACATGTATATGCAAATGGTCAGTGTAACTATGTGCGCGCATACACATGCGTATATCAGGCGGTAGTTGCCTGACCAGTTGCTCATATCGTCGCGCCACTAAAAGGCGCGAGGGTCTCAGGCAAACGTGGTCAGACTACCATGGGACAATGCGTCGCCGAGGTCAGTGTTGCGAGGACGCCCCGGGTGAAAATGGCCTGAACACCTCCGCTCAGGGGAGGGCATATCCGAAGTCAGCCGTGCGAGGAAGTTTCAAGCGAGGAGTGGTCTGAACACCTCTGCTCAGGGCATCCTTGAACTTAGAGTTGCGAGAAGTCGCACGCGAAAGTGGCCGACGTTGCAGGTGTTCGCGCGGCCGTGAGTCCCCAGAGAGTGTTTCCCCAGGATGTGTGCTGAAACCGAAGGTCCCCGACGGCCTGATCTCCGAAATGTCACAAAACCCCTGGTTCCCAACAGCGCGTCCGGATGAGATGGTGTCGTGGCCCCGACGGTTTGTATTGAGCGTCGCGAGAAGCCCCGTCGAGGCGGGAAGAGGAACACGAAGAGGATGTGGAGGAGGAGGAGGAGGAGGGGGAGGAGGAAGAGGAGGAGGATGAAGAGGAGGAAGAGGATGAAGAGGACAGATTATGTGGACATCTGGGGCGCAGCCGGGGTGTCGCGGAAGAAATCCGCAGCAGAGACTTGGGAGAGTGAGGAGAACTGCTTCTGCTAGACATTTGGCGGGGCGGAACGTGAAACACCACGGGGAATTAGGAGAAGGAGGAGGAGGAGGAGGTAGAGGACGAAGAAAATGAGGAAGAGGAGGAGGAGGAGCTCTTGGGTCCTTCGGTGGTTTAAACGAAAAATGGCCTCGCTGCGCCATTTGATACGACAACGACGACGACGAAGAAGGCGACGACAAAGAGAAGGGATGAGGGGAGGGCCGCTGCGTTGGGATCTCGTGGTGCGCCTCTCGGGGCCCTCTGGGAGGCAGTTTTGAAGCCTCTTGGGGGTGTTTTGGGGCTCTGGGGATCTTTTTGGGGTCTCTTGGGGGCCTCTTGGGGGCTCCTTGGGGCCGCTTGGGGGCCTCTTCGGGCATCATGGGGTTCTCTCCGGGCCTCTTGGGGCCCCCTCGCGGCGGAAAATTTAGTTTTTGAATTTCGAAGCGCCCTCTTGGGTCTCTCTTGGGGCCGTCTTGGTGCTCTCTTGGGCCGTCTTGGGCGCCTCTTGGGCGGTCTCGGAGCCCTCCTGGACCGTGTCGGGGCCTTCTTGGGGGCCTCGTGGGCAGTACTGGGGCGATCTAGGGAGCCTCTTGGGCCATTGTGGAGCGTCGGGAAGCGGGGAAAGCGAGAAGGCCAAAAACATCGAGAAAACACACAGGAAATCGACAATTGTAGCCTCTCGGGGCTCTCTTGGGAGGCCTCTTGGGGGTCTTTGGGGGCGTCTTGGACGCGTCTTGGGCAGTCTTGGGCCCAGATTGGGCGTTTTGGGCAGATCTTTGGGTGTCTCGGGGCCCTTTTTGGCTGTCGTTTTTTTTTTTTTTTTTTTTTTTTTGTTTTTTTTGTTTTTTTTGGTTTTTTCCGCGTCGCACTCGCAGGACAGACACGGAGCATTCTGCAGGAGCGGCCCAAAGGCTCGGGGAGGTCGAAATTCGTTTTTTTGGGGGGGGCACCGTGTGCCGCTTTTCTGGGGTCCCCGGCCTTGTAAAAATATATATACGTAGGAATATGTAACACATTTCCCTCCCTTCAGCATCCTGGTCGTCCCCCTCCGCTTTCTTCATGCTAAACCTTCCTCCTACTCTCCCATCCGCCTTCCACTCCTGCTACTCCTCCTCTTCAAGCCACCCGCCTCCTCCCCTCCATCTTTCCTTCTCCGTTCCGACTCCTCTCCCTCTTCCTCGCTTCTTGTTATGCCTCCTCCTCCTCCTTCCACCCCCTCCTCCTCCTCCTCCTCCTCCTCCTCCTCCTCCTCCTCCTCCTCCTCCTCCTCCTCCTTACCATTGTGAAACATTGGATGGTTTGTGTCTGGCAGCTCGTAGGTTAGCCCTCTAACTGAACGAACGAGGGAGCCCCAGCCTGCAGCGGCGCAGGCCAAGCACATTTGAGGCATTTTCCGCTCGGCACGTGCGGCACGCTACACTCACTTGGCGTAGCGTTGTGCAAGAATGCCCATATTCTACTGTTCGCCGACAGTGCGGCGACATGACACCTTGAGGCTTCATAAACCGTGGGCGAAGCCATACGCTCTTCTCTTGCTGAGCCCGCAGTCTGGGAAACACGTCGCTCGCGGCATGAAAATAGCTCAACCGAGTCTGCAGGCGGCCCTGCTGTGAGAGTGCGCCAACGTATCTTTCGAGGCACCCGGTTGTGGTGGAATTGATCCTTAGAGCCTGTCAGGTGCGGACGTTGGCGGAGAAGACCAGCGACCCCGCCTTGGCGCAGCTCGCCATGTGCCGCGCCGCGGCAAGAGGAGGTTGGCATGAGGAGCGATAGCGGTAGGGAGGACGGGAAGAGGATGATGATGATGATGATGAGGAGGAGGAGGAGGAGAAGGAGGAGGAGGAGGAAGAAGGAGCAGGAGGAGGGGTAGTGGCAGGAGAGGGGGTGAGAAGGAGGACGATGTCACGGACAACGCGGAGGAGAAGGATGGTCATTAGGATGGAAGAAAGCAATGAGGAGGAGGAGGAGGAGGAGGAGGAGGAGGAGGAGGAGGAGGAGGAGGAGGAGGACAACGATGAGGGATGGCGAGCGATGGGGAGAAGGGGGGAAGGGGAGGTTGAGGAGGAGGATGAGATGAGGAATAGATGAAGACGAGGAAGGAGGGGGACGAAGACGAGGCGGGGTGGGGGGCGGAGAAGGATAAGGGAGGAGGGAAGGAAAAGGAGGAGAACGAGAAGAAGCAGACGATAGAGATGTGAAAGAGGAGGAGGGGCAGAAGTAGGTGTTCCCCGCCGCTACAGGATTGGCGAGGGCCTCGCGTCCACCTGCACTTTCCCAGTTCAATCGTCGACTGCCCCTCTGAACGCAGGGAGGCCGATCGGTTCCAAAAAGGCCAGCTCTTCCAACGAGATAAGGCGACCGCTTCGCCAGGCAGTCTCGTGCCCTGCGCCGGCCATCAAGCAATATATTCCTGCGAGTCTTGGCACTGAAATCCTTAGGGTCCTTCGGACAGGCAGCCAGCAGCGCACAAGCTCGAGCACTGGTGAACGCGCCACAGCTGCGACATAAAACATGCTGGCCTGCACGCGTGGCGTGAGCTGGTGCCGCCTTGGCCCCTGTAAAGGAAGCTGGTCGGCACGCGAATCCTTATTTGAGCCCCGATGGGAAGTGAAACCCTGTCTGCCAAACTTACGTGAGAGCGCAACACTGGCTTTGTCGTTATGCGCTAGCTGGGCACGGAACTACTCCATGGCAGGCCGACTCAGGAAAAGGGAGAGGGGCACGACGCTGACGAGGGCCAGAAGACTGGGCGGCATGCTTAGGGCCGCCAGTGGTGTGATCGAAAGTGCCTACATTAGCTGTGATGGCCCCAATTAGGCCCAACATCTCAATGATTTCTTTCAAGCGCGACTTCCAGGTGGCAACGTGGTGCGGGGGGTGACATCCTTAGGACCCCACCCTGCTTCGCCTGCAAATAATGACCCAATAATCGTCGGCCTGAGGGCCCAGAAAAGCCGCTGCGCTCGATTCCCTCGGCCAGCTCTCGGCATCAGATTTCTTGGAATGCGATCTGGCTTTCACCACGACGAGGCCCACCTACCCCGAGTAACCAACCTGGACCGCAGCCCATATCATATATGCCAGAGGTCAGCATGCAGTCGGCGGGCCTGGCAACACCGGGCGTGCCCGCGCCTCTACCCTCGGCACACGGTGGCGTTGGTTACACCGATCAAAAACCTGGAGGAAAAAAGCGCCAGCTGTCATGGACCCCAGCTCTCGATTGAGAAAACCAAGAGCATGGACTCGACCGTGGGCGTTGTCTTGGAGCTGTTCGCTCCCCGTCGAATGTTCGTAGATCTGGACCTGGACTGCTCTTTGTGAGAACGCGCGGAGCGAAGTCCACTTTCTTACTTCGAACGTTTCTTCACTCCACGCAGGGGCGTATGCCAACTCCCAGGCGTGCGGCCCCGTGCCGCAGGAACGACACGTACGGCCCCATGCAGCTCCGCTCTCGGAACTCCTTGGGCGAGCCTCACTCCCGGGACGGTGCCGTGCGTAGTTTTCATGACATGACCCTCGTCTCGGCAGCGAGCGAGGGGGGAGGTGAGGAGGGCCTTCTCAGACAGCGGCGGGACTTCTCAGAAGCGCCCCCGCCTTCTGAGGAGTTGTCTGCGTCTTCGGGGAAGGCTCAGGAAACTGCTCGGAAGGCCGGGGGGCTTCCGAGCCTCTTGAGAAGGCCCGCCCCTTCTCGCTTCCCCCCCCTCCCCGCTCGCCGCCGATCGTCGCCCAGGGAACGAGAGCCCCGCCCAGGGGCCCTGAGCCCCTGGACCCCCATCCCCGACCCACCCGGAGAGGGCGAGGCCAGAGCGGAGGGGGTCGTCACCGAAGTCGGGGTCGAGGGCTTCGGCCGCAGGGGCCGCATCCAGGGAGGGGTCGCCCAGCGGATCGTGGGGCGAGCGCCCTGGAGCATCCGCGGGAGGAGAGGTCGGAGCTGGCAGCACGAGGGGCGACCTCTGGAAGCCTCCTCCCCCGCAGTTTTCCGCTGCTCCTCATAAGCGGGGCATGTTGAACATCTGTGGAGCAGAAGGAGGAAGAGGAGCAGGAGCAGGAGGAGCAGGTGGAGGGGGATGAGGAGTAGGAGTATCAAGGGGAACACGAAGAAGACACCGGATAATCAACATGAGGCCTGGAAGGGGCAGCAGCAGCATGAGGCGATGAGGACGATCATACGGTGGATGGTGAAGAGATGGGTCAGGAGCATGTGAGCAACAGAAGGACGAGGAGGGCGAAGGGAGAGCACCAGAAGGCAAGCCAGGCGTCCTCGCGCCATCTCTGACACATCCCTGCTCCACTGCGCCGAACGTGAGCAAAAGAAGGACGAGGAGGGCGAAGGGAGAGCACCAGAAGGCAAGCCCGTTGTCCCCACGCCGCCTCCCGACACGTCCCTGTTCCCACCGCGCCGGTGCTCTCGGCCCGCCGACGGGCGTGTCGTAGCGGAGCTGGAGCTCCCCAAAAGGGACACCATCGCACCAGGCGGAAGCAGAGAATGGGGAGCTGTGCACACTGGAGGAGGAGGAGGAGGAGGAGGAGGAGGAGGAGGAGGAGGAGGAGGAGGCGTAGGAGGATGAGCAGGAGGAAGAGGATGGTGATGAAGGAGGAGGAGGAGGAAGAGGGTGGTGATGAAGGAGGAGGAGGAGGAGGAGGAGGAGGAGGAGGAGCAGGAGCAGGAGCAGGAGCAGGAGGAAGAGGATGATGCTGAAGGAGGCCGACGGGGGACCAGCAGCGGCAGCAGCAGGAGCAGGAGCGGGAGAGGAGCGGGAGGCGAGAGGAGGACCCGTGAACGGCGGCAAGGGGCAGCAAAGAGCGGGGCGGCGACGACGGTGAGGGCCTCGGGTCTGGAAGGAAACGTGGCCGGCGCCTGGGCGAGAGCGCCATTCGTGGGCGTTCGGTCATGGGGGGCGATCAACGGGGGGGGCGTCGAGGGTTGCACGAAAGGGGCCCTGAAGGGGCCCTGAACGACCCCCTAGGGCCCCGAAGGGGTACGAAAGGGGCACGAAAGGTGCACCTTTCTTACCCCCCCCCCCATCTCTCGCCCTCCCATTACAGTGCTGTTTTAAATACATGCTCCGCGTGCGGATCATGTATTAAACATGCAGGGGTCTAGTATTAAAAACAACGATGAGTCCATGCATGCATTTATTCATAACTTAATCATGTGTTAATATCCTATATAGTTTAAAATCCGATGTATTTAAAACTGCCCTGTGTAATGATTGCCCGACACTCTGAACGGCGGGGGCACAGCGCCGATCCCAAAGCGAGGCCCACGCAGCAGCGGCGGGAGCGCACTGTGTGAGAGCTCGACCGCGCTCCGACCGAAGAGGCCACGTGCGGAAGCCTCGCGCTGCAGGAGCACTTGCGAAGTACCACGTGTGTAAACCTTGCGTGGACGAAACACACATGTGGAGTACCATGTGCGGAAACCTTGCGTTGAAAACACAGCGAAGCACCACATGTGGAAACTTTGCGCTGCAGAAACCTTGTGCGGTGCACCTCCAAGACATCGTCAGGGGAGATAGGAGAGCAGTGCTTTTACACGACGCTGTCCTTTTGTATCGAGAAAAGCAGGTCGAGAACGAGAGGAGAGAGGGAGGGCGTTGTGGAGGAGAGGGAGGAGCGGCGGCAGCAGAAGCAGCAGCAGGCGAGCGGACAGAGGACCGTATGAGGAAGAAGAGGGGTGAAGGAGAGGAGGGAGGAAGAGGAGGGAGAAAGAGGAGGGAGGAAGAGGAGGGAGGAGAGGAAAGAGGGGAGGAGAGGAAGAGGGAGGAGAGGAAGGAAGGAGGGGGAAGAGGAGGGAGGAGGGGAAGTAGAGGAGGGAGGTGCAGGAGGGAGGAAGAGGACCTGAGGAGGAAGAGGAGGGAGGAAAAAGAGGAGGGAGGAAGAGGAGAGGGGGAAGAAGAGCGAGCGCGGAGGGCGGAGGCGGGGCAGCGGCGGGGGCGGAGTGGAAGGGGGAGGGTGCGCGGGGAGGCGGGGACGAGGCGGCGCTGGGTCGGGTGACGGGGGGGGGGGGGAAGGGAGGAGACGGAGAGGAAGGGGGGTGGAACCCATCTCGCTGATCCTCGCATGCTCCAATACAGCCAGCCCGCATAGTAAGGATGGGCAGCTTTCCCAGGGGTGCCCTTGCATCCTTGCCCCTCCGGCCCATCTCTGGCCGCTTTCGCTGGCAGCGCCCCGCTCACAAGGTGTCGGCATGGCCGTCAAAGGCCCTTGCATCCTTATCGCGCATCCTTATGATACGGGTTGATTGTATCGGGACGACGGGGGAAAGAATAGAAATCGGAGGAAGAAGGACGAGAGGAGAAGCAGCGCCAGCCCCCCCCCCCACACGGCACGCGCCACGCGGTGGGGGCGGCTCTGCGCACGAGGGCGCCACGCGGCATGGGCCCCGTGCTGGCCCCATCGACTGCGGTCGCGAGGCACACGAAGACGCCTGGCGCTCGGACTCCCCTGCTCAGCGCGCGAGAGCGCGGGCCCAACGAGCAGGTCGTGCACGAGGACCTGTGCGACGACGCCTCGAGACACCGCTCCAACACGTAGAAGAGCACCTCTGGCCGTTGGCCTGCTCCTCCCCAGCCGGCAGAGCGCAGTGCCAAGATGTCCGCGGCGCCGCCTGGTAATTGCAGAGGGTTTCTTGAGCCCTGCGGCGGCCAGGTCGAGAAGGGGGATGACGACCACGAGAACGAGGAGTGGGAGATGAGAATGACGACGACGACAACGAGGACGCGACGAGCAGCAGGAGCAAGAGGGAGGGGAGGGCGAGGAGGAGGAGGAAAAAGACGACGGCGGCGACGACGACGACGACGAGGAGGAGGAGGAGGAGGAGGAGGAGGAGGAGGAGGAGGAGGAGCGGGAGAAGACGAGGACGAGAGGACGAGGAGCAGGAGGAGGAGGGCTCCATCCTCCCATCTGCGAGGGGCTGCACGCCTCCCGGGCTCCAACGAGCCGCCTGGGCCTCGGGCCCCACCTTCGGTGATGTTTTTTTTTTTGAGCGGGGGAAGCCGTGGTGTCGCGGTGCGCGTGCGCGGCGAGGCGCGCATCCAGGGTATTCGGGCTTTGGGACAGGAGCCGGGGAACACAGGCCGAGGGCGCGTGATCCGATGAAAGGATTCGCCACATCAGTGCTACCATTAGCTGGGAAGTTTTATGCACCCACCTCATGTTCGCAAATCCCCAGCCCTGCCCTTTACTATCCCCCCTTGTCGCCCGTCCCGACACATGAGGACGTGAACATGAAAGCACTCTGAGGTCCGCGCAGATCTCTTGGATCGGCGCTGGAGCCGGGGAACCAATGTCAGGCGGTCGCAAGCATGGATTAAGGGGGGCGTGGATTCGCGACGGGCCCCGTTTGCATGGGAAGTCGCGGATTTCCGCCGCCGAGCGAGGCGGCACCGGCCGCATTTGGGGGAGGGCACCTCCCCGGATCCATGGATGTGGCGACCGCGCGCCAAATCCATGGATCGCTAATCCATGTTTGCGCGCCCCCGAAAATGAGGACATGAACATCGAAGCTCTGAGGTCTGCGCAGATCTCTTGGATCGGCGCTGGAGCCACCTGGCGGCGCCTCCGGCGCCGCCCCTGGGTCGTCCAGCGCCGATCCTGGGAGTCCGCGCGGACTTCCGAGCTTTACTGTTTGATTGTCTCAGTGCTTGTTCCCCGAAGGACGGCTAGACGCTGCCACCAACATGATGTAGGATAAGCGATTGTCAGAGCTGGGGTCGGGGCTTCTCGGCGCGGGAGAGACAACGCATACGACCTCGCGAGCGGAGCTGCTCACTGTAAACGTGTGTTGCGCTTCGTTCCCTGAGGTGGGAGGAGAGAAAGAGGCTCCACTAGTCATCCCCTTCTTTTCTGCCTCTGCACATCATAAGTATCGCGCTTGTCCTGCCGCGCTCGGGCCCCACAGCGAGGTTGTTTTGTTTTGTTTCGTCTGGTTACTGACGATGTCGTTGGGCACCAAATGAGGTACTTCCTGCTCGCATGTTGTACTAACATCGTGCATGGCTTATGGCGCATGGTTTGCATATTGTCTTTACTTCCAGGGTCCATGGCACAGGCTGTTTCTCCATTGATATGTGACTCTGGCCATCACTACCACCGGTGAGCCAGGCGGGGTAGTGTTGTGTGGTGCTTCGCGATCCAGACAGCTTCCAAGCGCGATCAGTCATGGGCAAGTTCTCAGCCCACTTTCTCGCAATAGTTTGGCCGAGCGGGCGAGACGAGGTTCATTGTTGTGTGATCCGGCGCTTCAGACTTTATTCGAGGGCATCGCCTTCAGTGCATCTCGTCTTCGGCGAAAGGCCAGCGGAAGTCGGCGGAAGTAAAACCAGGGCGGATCCACCAGCAGAAGGCGGAGGAAGTCCAGGTGAGACGTCAACATGTTTTGATTGGGTATTTGGAGGTGGACATATACACATTAGACATATATATATAGATGTATACATATCGGAGGTGAGGGGGTGAGATCGAAGTGGAACGGAGAGCCCCCCTACCGGGAAATCGATTTCGGTTTCGTGTTCGTGCGTGCCGTGCGTGCGGGCGAGGCGAAGCTGCGTGGGCGGGCGAGATAAAGTCTCCTGTGGCTGAGGCGCGGCCGGACCAAATGACTCCCTTCTGGGCGGCCGGGGGCCCGCGGTGTCCCGCCGGTGTCCCGCGAAAGTCCCGTGTGGCTGAGGCGCGGCCGGACCAAATGATTCCCTTCTGGGCGGCCGGTGGCCCGCGGTGTCCCGCCGGTGTCCCGCGAAAGTCCCGCGGTGTCCCGCGGTGCCCCGCGGTGTCCCGCCGGTGTCCCGCGGTGTCCCGCGATGATGATGATGATGATGATGATGATGATGATGATGATGATGATGATGATGATGATGATGATGATGATGATGATGATGATGATGATGATGATGATGATGATGATGATGATGATGATGATGTGATGATGATGACTGATGATGATGATGATGATGATGATGGATGGACGATGATGATGATGATGATGATATGATGATGGTGTCCCGATGATGATGATGATTATGATGATGATGCTGATGATGCTGATGATGATGACGATGATGATGATGCTGATGGTGTCCCGATGCTGAGGATGATTATGATCATGATGATTATGTTGATGATCATGACGATGACGATGATGGTGTCCCGATGGTGATGAGTATGATGATGTTGATGCTGATGATGCTGATTATGAATGTGTCCCGATGATGACGATGTTGATGATGATGAGGTTGATGATGATTATGGCGTCCCGATGATGATGATTATTCTGATGGTGATTGTGATGATGTTGATGATGATGGCGTCCCGATGGTGATGATGATGATGATGTTGATGCTGATGTTGTTAATGATGATGATGGTGCCCCGATGATGACGACGATGATGCTGATGATGCTGATGATGATGTTGATGATGCTGATGATGCTGATGATGATGATGTCGATGATGAGGATGAGATGATGATGATGGTGTTCCGATGATGATGATGATGCTAACGATGGTAATCATGATAGTGTCCCGATGATGATGCTGCTGATGATGATGATGATGATGACGATGACGGTGTCCCGATGTTGCTGATGATGATGATGACGATGTTGATGATGATGATTGTGATGATGGTGATGATGATGATGGTGGTGTCCCGATGATGTTGATGACCGTGATGATGATGATGTTGGTGTTGATCATGAGGACGGTATCCCGAGTATGATGATGTTGGTGATGATGATGTTGATGTTGATGTTGTTGTTGATGATGATGATGACGTTGATTGTGAGAGCGGTTGTGATATCGATAGTGAAATCGATAGTGAGACCGAATGTGATATCGATTGTGAGATCGATTGTGAGATCGATTGTAAGATCGATCGTCAAATCAATTGTGAGATAGATCGAGTGAGATCGATTGTGAGATCGATCGAGGGAGATCGATCGAGCGAGACCGATACTGAGATCGATAGTGAGATCGATAGTGAGACCGATCGAGTGAGACGTTGGTTCCTCCCCCCCCGAACCTCCTTATCACCCGAAGGGTGGTCGTATAGGTGTATATATATATATATATATACAAGTGGCACGTGTGTGCCCAGGCTCATACAACAAGCTGAAAGGGGCGTTTGAAGCAGGAGTGACATGCAACAGCGAAGTCGCACTCGAGCGCAAGTGGGGTTGCCACACCTTGCGATGTGTGTACCAGGGCCCCCCAGGAAGCCTCAGGAGGCCCGACTTGGATACCAGAAGAGGCTCCAGGAGGCCCCAGGATTGTGAGTGTTGTGTGTGTGTGATGTGTGCTTTGTGTGGTGCGTGCTTTTTGTGTGTTGTCGGTGTTGTGTGTGTGTGTATGTTATGTTTGTCTAGCGTGTGATGTGTTGGGCGTGATTTGTGTCTCTGTGTGTGCATGTAGTTCTGAAGCCCCAGGAGGCCCCAGGAGGCCCCAGGCGGCCTCAGCAGGCCCAGGAGAACTCCAGGAGGCTCCGAGGCGGGGTCTGGGGTACCAGAAGGTCCAGAAAGCCCCAGGAGGCCCCAGGAGGTTCCAGGAGGCCCCCAGGAGGCTCCGAGGAGGGGTCTGGGGCTCGATTTTGGGAGGATGTCTCAGGCGAAACCGCCATTCTCTGAGAATCGGGGTCAAAATTATTGAAATTACCATGTGTTCTTGAAGGTTTGATGTAGAAATGGTTGAATTCCTATGTGTTTTTTGACCTCTCCTTCACGATCTGCGTGAGGGGTGCCACCGATTTTCAGAATTTCGAGGATGTCCCGAGCGAAACGGCCAGAAAAATCAAAGACGGACGCACGCACGGACGCATTAATCCCCTCTGAGCTCTACTCCCTCGGAGAGGTGGGTATGAGAATATATATATATATATATATATATCGAGAGAGAGAGAGAGAACAAAAAAAAGAGAGAGACCCATACTGCAGCTTCAATTGTGATTTTTTCCCGCAAGTGAGGCGCATGGCTTCAGCGATGCACTATGGCTCGATGGCCAGCGAGGACCCCTTCACCAAAGTGCGGCAGCTGATCATGGACCCCCACAGTGGGAGGGCAAGTTACAGTCGGGGCCCTGAAGAAGGAACCCTTTTCGTTGGGGAGGGGCTCCGTGTTCCTTAAGTGTTTCACAGCTTGCCTCAGGTTTTCCTTATGGATTCGATCGGAAATCGAAGTTCAACTTATGGAAAATAGGGGCCTCGTTCCTTATTTAGGGTTCCTTGGGTCAACGCCTCGACTGTAGGCCGCAAAATGAGGAGTGCGCGTTGTCTGGTTTGGCGGGCTGGAGGCACCCGGAGGGGCGGAGGCTGTAGAGGAATAGAAGGACGGGGCGGAGGAATTGGAGGAGGAGGAGGAGGGAAAGGGGGACACTTCAACGAGTGGACAGAAGGCAGGAGTGGTGAAGTGATGAGGTGCCGCAAGGTCTCCAGCCCCACTGGCGGACGTGCCGGGCCGCCACGTCGCAGGCGGGCACGGCGGCCGCGTGGGGAGCTTGCGAGGGTCCGCAAGCCGAAAGAGGAGGCGGAAGAGGGGAGTGAGAGAGAGGGAGGACGGCGCTCGCGGCAGAGGGGCGGGAGGGGGGAGTGAGAGAGGGGAGAACGGCGCTCGCGCAGCATCTGGCATCCTGCACCGGCCAGTGGACGCGCAACGGGAAGGGAGTGGTGGAGGCTCCCACCCATCTCTTGCCATCGCGCTGCTTCTTCCCTGTCCGCGGACGCGTGTCATGGCGGACTTCCTGGAACTCCTGGAGCTCCCGAAAGGACCCCATCATGCCATGCGCAATCGGATTAGGGAAGTTGCGTACACAGTAGGACGGTGGAGAGGGAGGAGGAGGTGGGGATGAGCAGGAGGATGAGCAGGAGGAAGAGAAGGACGGGGAAGGAGGAGATCACCGATGCCTCGGCTCCCCGGGCCTCTCCCGGGGCGCGCTCTGAAGCCAGATTCTCGAGGCGAATCCAGCCTTGGCGACCAGGGCCTGCCAGGAGGCCCAAGAGGGGCGAAAACGTGTGGAAGGGCAGCGGCGCGTGTACCCGCGAGACTCCAGCCGAGCCGCCACCCACCCACCGAGCGCACGGGTCAGGGCCTCGCCCCTCGGCGGAGGCCGGGCGGAGGCGGCACGGGGGAGGCGGAATGGCGGCGGGCCTCCTCCTCCTCGCCTCTCCTCCCTCCTCCTCCTTCTCTCTCCTCCTCCTCCTCCTCCTCCTCCTCCTCCTCCTCCTCCTCCTCCTCCTCCTCTCCTCCTCCTCCTCCTCCTCCTCCTCCCTCCTCCTCCTCCTCCTCCTCCTCCTCCTCCTCCTCCTCCTCCTCCTCCTCCTCCTCCTCCTCCTCCTCCTCCTTGGTGCGTGCGTCAGCACGGGCGAGCTCGAGGGGCGTTTCGCGCTGCTCGGCCTCCGCCGTGGGCACCTGCCTGAAGGCGGAGCCTCGGCGCGACCGCCTGCTCGCGGCGGCGTGCCGCCGCACGCCGGGCGCCAGCCCGCCCTGCGGACGAGAGCCCCGCCTCGGGCTGGGCCGACCGACCCCCCTGGGCTGCGCGTAAGCCGCCGGCCTCTCTCGAAGAAGGCAAAAGCGCCAGAAACCAAAAACTGTTGGCGATCCGCGCGGACTTCTGGGATCCGCGCTGGACCCCCCCCCGGCGCCGCAGCCAGCGCCGCCCCCAGCGCGCTCTGCGCGCCAGGCAGGGGGGGTTCCAGCGCAGATCCAAGAAGTCCGCGCGAAGCGCCAAAAGTTTATCTTTCTGCCGTCTGTTCTTCTTCGATTCTCGCCCCGGGACCCAGGTTGTGAGCGGCAGCGGCCCGCGGTCCCGTCGAGATCGAGCGCGGCCGCGCCGTGCGCAAGCTGGGCCGTGGCCCCCTGCCGCAGGCCATCCGTGGCGTCGGCGCCGGAGCTGCGCAGTCGTGGGCGCGGGGGGGGTGGTCTCGATGCAGCGGGCATGCTGGCGGCGAGGCGCAGGTGTTCGAGCATCCCCACCCAAGACGCCCTCCAGAGGGCTCAAGAAGCCCTTCAGGGGGCCCACGAAGCCCTCCAGGGCGCCCAAGAAGCCTTTCAGGGGGGGCAGAACCCATCCAGGGTGCGCAAGAAGCCTCTCAGAGGGGCCCAAGAAGCCCTTCAGGTGGCAGACGCGAACCTCGGCGTGCCCTCTCTTCATGTCCTTGTCGTCCGCTGCTGGGCCAGGGCGGCCAGCTCTTGTTGGACGGCGCGTTCTTGGGACGCAGGCCTCTTGGGATTGCGGTTCCTCTGGTGCTGGCTGGGGCTCTCGACGTGCCCGAGCTCCTTGCCGAGCGAGGCCCTTCTGCCGTCTGGTGTGAGCGAAAACGGGCGGAAGAGGCGGACCGTTTTGCCGCAGTTTCCACACGCGCAAGAGTACCCCACCAGCGTATCGTTGAACGCATGTGCTCCATGGGCGAAGTGCGGGAACCATGGCTGCCAAGAAAACGGATCGGACCCCCTGGTCTTATAAGCCCACCGATTGAGGCAAACACTCGTGCAGACTATCGCTCAAGAACCTCTGGAAGATATAGGGAGTGGATCGGTGCAGAATGTCCCATCCCAAGTGTCACGAGTTACCTTTAGGAGAGGGAGGAAGTGGAGGAGGAGGAGGACGACGACGGCGAAGAGCAGGAGGAGGATGGAGGAAGGCGGGCAAAACAAAGCAAACACTATCACGAGACAGGTGAGAAGGTCAAGGTGGAGGGAGGGAGAGAAGAGCTGCGGGGGCGGGGGGTGGAGAAGGAGTGAGGCGGGGCGAGGTCGACGGGAAGGCCGCCCGTCACTGCAGTGAAGGGCCGTTCGGGCCCGCCCACGCGCTGCGGAGTGAAGTCCTCTGCCCCGGCCCGCTCCGCGCCCGCCCGCCCACCAGGGCTCGTCCGCCCGCCCACCCAGGGAAGGTCCGCTCCTCCTCCTCCTCCTCCTCCTCCTCCTCCTCCTCCTCCTCCTCCTCCTCCTCCTCCTCCTCCTCCTCCTCCTCCTCCTCCTCTCCTCCCTCCTCCTCCTCCTCCTCCTCCCTCCTCTCCTCCTCCTCCTCCTCCTCCTCCTCCTCCTCCTCCTCCTCCTCCTCCTCCTCCTCCTCCTCCCTCCTCCTGTAGGTCCCGCCCGTCCGCCCACTCGGGTCCACCCGCCCGCCCGCTCGGGTCCGTCCGCCCTCCTGGCCCGTACCGTTGTCTCCCCCAGGTCTCGTTGCTGCGTACCTTTGCCTTGTTTCTCCACCGCTGTCGTGTTCTCCCAGCCTCGATGTCGATACGCCCGACATGGTTACGGTGATCCACCGATGAACTCGGTTTCTACACCCCCGTTCGTTTCCTCACCCCTGAGTTCGGGTTTCCGTCCCTGCACAGTGAATTACACAGCTGTTCCTCAGGTCCCACTGCGTTTGCTGCACACAAGCTTCTTCTTCCCCACCCCTGATCCGTGTTCTCCACCCGTCTATGGTTTCCCTCCCTTGTTTGTGTTGTTCACATTCGTTTTGGCTTCGCCATCCTAGTTTGGGTTCCTGGATTACGGTCACGTGTTCTCCGCCCTTGTTTCGTTACCTTTACTAGGGTATCGGATTCTCTGCTAAGGTTGCATTATCCCCTCCAGGGTGTCGTCATCATCACTAGGGCTTCGTTTTCCCCACGAGCTTGTCGTTCCCCCCCACTCTTGTTTATTTTCTCCACCCCCTTTGCGTTCGCCAATTATGATTCGTTTTATCTCCCCTGAGCTGTATTCTCCGCCCTATCTTCGCTATCTCCTTCAGGGTGTAGTTTTCTCCACCCACGTCACGTTCTCTCCACCAGGATATTGTTTTCTCTACAGGGGCTCCGTTTTCTTCACCAGGGCTTTGTCGTCTCCATCAGGGTTCCATTTTCTCCATGAGGGTTTCACAAGGAGGAAGAGAAGGATATGTATGAGAGGGAGCAGGAATGCGGGGAAAGAGGGTGTACCAACTACCCTCTCCTCGCCCTCTGAGATTTTACCCCGGCTCAGCCTTTCTCTCCCTCTTCCCCATCCCATCGCATTCCCCCGCCGCCCCTTGTTCCCTCCCCCACCCTCTTCCATTCCCCTCCCCTCCTCACTATCCCTCTTTCCTTCTCCTTCTTTCTTCCCTTCCCCACTCCTCCCCTCTCCCTTTCCCTCTCCTCCTCGCACCTGCTCTCCACTCCCTTCTTGCGCACACATTAACCTTCGCAGTGGGGGCAGTCTCCTTTCTCATACCCTGCCCGCGGCTCAGGATATGATCACGAAGCTGCAGAAGGAGGCCGGAGCTGATGCCTCACATAAGGCGCCCATTGCATCTCTTCCATTTGCCGCCTCCCTCCCTTTCCTGACCCCCTCGCGCCCTATTTCTCCACCTCCGCCGCCCCTCCTCCTCCTCCTCCTCCTCCTCCGCCCTTGGCCATTGTTGCTCAAGCCTACAATGGTGTGCAAGCCACTGCATCCACGCGGTAGACTCTGAGGCGCCCATCCAGCTTTCAGCGCTTTCCTTCGAAAGCCCGGCATTCTTCCGAACATTATATATCCCAATCCTTGTACCCGCCATTGCTGCCGCGCTGGTCGCCATATCCTGCACGCGTGCTTGCTGCTGTTTGTTTACATCCGCAGGTCTCAGTACACCATCGCGCCATACAGATACAGATACGCTCGTCCAGCCAGACCTGAACCATTACGACGGTTCGTTGGGGCAAACAATATCATCGACACTGGCGTGGGGCAGCACCAGGCGCGCGCTCGACCGACAACATGGATCTGAAGGCAGCCGCAGCAGCAGAAGTGACGGAACCCGTGGACGAGATCCACCCGCCCGCCATCGAAGGGCAGATGCTTCAAGCCACTCCAAGTGCCGCAGCGGTGGAGAAGACAGGCGCTGTCGAGATCGCAGAGCCCGTCGAGACAGACATGACGACCAGGATCGCCGCGCTGAATCGTAGACAAGACAAATCTACAACGGGATCAAGCAGGGCGGGACCGTGGCGCCAGACGCCGGGCAGGACCCTCCACTGGACGACCACACCCTCTTCAACAACGGGACCCTTTTGGCGAGGCGGAGATGCTCCTTCTCCCGGTGAGCACGCTGGTGTTAGTGATGGGCCACCTACGGCGGCCCATCCACAGCAGTTCGTTCTCTTTCCACGCACACTTCAAACTGGGTAGTCGAAGGCCAGACTGTCAGATTGGATTGGGCCCCACGGGCCAATCTGGCCTGGCCAAACTGGATGATTTGGGTTATTCGCCAGACTGGATTCGCGTTGGCTCCCTCGCCAGATTGCCCCCGTTTGCCAGATTGGGCCTGCCAGATTGGCGCCAGATTGGCTTCGACTACCCGGTCAAACATTGGAAGCAGCGGTCTTCTCCCCGTCTGAACCTGCGCTTGCGCGTCGTCCTGCACCACCTGGCGCTGCTGTCGGTGCGGAAAGCCTGCCGACACCCGCTGCTCATCCTTCTGATCCTCCCACTGATCTGGCGGGTCCAGCGCGTGGGCTGGCAGCGCTGGCCCGAGCACAGATCGCGGCGGCGACGGCTCAGCTCGCGGATGCGGCACACCATATCATCCAGCAGCAACAATCGGCTCGTTCATCCCATAGTTCCAGAAGTTCCTTCCATACAGCAGGCAGCACTCAGCACATTTCGAACAGCACGTCTGCGGCATTCGTGACCTTTAAGGGCGGGCGCAGTGCGCCGAATCAGATCAACAACGCCCGCGATCTAAAAGCGCACCAATGGAGAAGCGACCTCGTCTGTTACAGATGCAGCCCCCCCCCGTCGGACCCTCCGCTCGTGCGATTACAACCAGATGTTTTTTGATTTCAGCAATGAGCATCACATTGAATTGCCCACAAGCAAAATCAATGTAAAGTCTATTTTGAAATTGTTCTTGCTCTTACACGGTTTCCAGAAGCATCGACAATCAGATTTTGGAGATTTCCAGAGGCAGCGCCTTGGGGCCGCGGGAGCTTACCAGGAAAACCGGAAAAAACATGAAAAACAATGAAAAACATATGTTTTTTTCGCATGGAAAATATATGTAAATTAAGGACAACCTGTGACTGTCGCCATTTTTATACTTGAATCCACAGAAAACGCTGACAGTCACAGGTGTTCCTTTGTTTATTTTATTTTCCGTGTGCAAACACAGGTTCTGGATTGTTTGGTCTGTATGCGCAGGAGTCCGGCGCGTCACGGCGGGGAACCTTTTTCACCCGAACCTTGTGAATCAGTCCTCGGCTGGGCAACAGGACCAGTCGCGCTGCGTCATCCTTCAATGGTCGCCGACCGTATTTTTGTATTTTACTTTTCGTTGTGCCAGCGGCTGTCTGCGACGTGAATCAGCCTCTGAAGCGCTGCTAGTTTGTCTCTAGAGCTCCCAGGGCCTCGTCGAATAAGGGCTCTCTTGCTCAACTCACGCTTGCTGGGCCTTATTTTTCCATGTGAAAACAAATGTTTTTCTTGTTGTTCATGTTTGTCTTGTTTTCCTGGTAAGCTTCCGCGGCACAGGTTTTCCTTTAGCGCCTTGGGGCCGCGGGAGGTTACCAGGAAAACAAGAAAAAACATGAAAAACAATAAAAAACATGCTTCACATGGAAAAATATAAAAAAGAAAGGACAACCTGTGACTCTCGCCATTTTTATTTGTGAAACCCAAGAAAGCTCTGACAGTCACAGGTTTTCCTTGGTTTTCGTTATTTTTCTATATGAAAACACAGGTATTCTCTGGTGTTCAATATTTTCCCATGTGTAAACATAAGTTTTTAATGGTTTTCATGTTTTTTTGTGTTTTCCTTGTTTTCCTGGTAAGCTTCCGCGGCCCAGGTTTTCCTCCAGCGCTTTCGGGCCGCGGAAGCTCACCAGGAAAACAGGAACAAAGTATGACAAACAAGAATATACTTGTGGTTTCACATGGAAAAAGAAGAAAAATAAAGGAAAACTTGTGACTCTCGTCATCTTTATTGGTGAGACCAAAGAAAACGCTGAGAGCCACACGTTTTCCTTGGTTCCCAACCATCCTGTGGTGCTGGGTCCACGTTTTGAAGAGAGAGCGCCCCGCGTTCCTTCCTCCCGCTGCCCCCTCCTTCCTCCTCGCATCATCGTCGTCATCATCATCATCATCATCATCATCATCCTCATCATCATCATCAGCATCATCATCATAGCCACTTTGGCTCCGGCGTTTGCTTGATGTGTGGCCACCCGCTCGCGTTTGCGTGCCCTGCTGTGTTCGCACACTTTTGTATTTCTCCCAACCATCCTGTGGTGTTGGGTCCTCGTTTCGAATAGACAGCGCCCCGCGTCTCCTCCTCCTTCCTTCCTTCCTCCTCCCCCTCCTCCCTCCTCTCCTCCTCCCCCTCCTCCCTCCTCCCCCTCCTTGCCATTGCTCTCGGCACACCTCTCACACGCTTCGTAGCCCCATAGGGAGGGAGCTCCACCGAAGGCCCCAGCGGGGGTGTTCGCATGCGGTTCCTTCACCCAGGGCAGCGTTTCGTGGCCCCATAGGGAGCTCCACCGAAGGCCCCACTGGGGGTGTTCGCATGCGGGCCCCCCGCCCAGGGCAGCGCTTCGTAGCCCCATAGGGGTTCCACCGAAGGCCCCACTGGAGATGTTCGCATGCGGGTCCCCCACCCAGGACAGCGCTTCGTGGCCCCATAGGGAGCTCCACCGAAGGCCCCAGTGGGGGTGTTCGGATGCGGGTCCCCCACCCTGGACAGCGTTGCGTGGCCCCAAAGGGGGCCCCACCGAAGGCCCCAGTGGGGGTGTTCGCATGCGGTTCCTCCACCCAGGGCAGCGTTTCGTGACTTCATCGGGAACTCCAGCGCTTCGTAGCCCCATGGGGAACCCCGCCGAAGGTCCCACTGGGGGTGTTCGCATGCGGGTCCCCCACCCAGGGCAGCGCTTCGTGACCCCATGGGGGGCTCCACCGAAGGCCCCAGTGGCTGCATTCGCATGCGTCTCCGCACCCAGGACACCATTTCGTGGCCCCATAGGGGGCCCCACCGAATGCGTTGCTCACAAAGACGGTACTCACAACTGCATATGGTTGGGTCTTTCGCCAGGCTATTTTTTCCTTATTTTTCTCTAGAAGCTTCCGCGGCCCCAAGGCGCCGAATGGCTCCTGAGCGAATTAGAGAGCCGAGAGGCAGAATGCACAACGCAACGGGGCGCTAGTGCAAACTTGAGCCAGGAAGGCTACGGCGCTACCTGATCCCAGTTGGGTGCTCTCTCGTGTCCCTTGTTTGGGTCCTTGCTAGGCCCCCTCGTTGCATCCTGTTCCACCTGCGTTTTCCTGTGTCCCTTGTTGGGTTTCCCTCCCCAGTCCCTTGCAGGGTTGCTTCCTGGGCGTCCCTGCTGGTCCCTTGCTGGGGCCCTCGTTGCTTTGTTGAGGGCATCCAACAACACCCCAAACTGTTTGACGGCACCCTTGTTTGGGATCCTTGTAAACACCGCTGCGTCGAGGACATCCCTGTTTGGGACGCCCTCCTATCAACAACACCCCAAACTGTTTGACAACACCCTTGTGTTGCGATCCCCTCAAACATCGCTGCGTTGAGGGCATCCCTGTTTGGGATGCCCTCTATCAACAACACCCCAAATCGGTTGACGGCACCCTTGTTAGGACCCCCATCAAACATAACGCTGCGTTGGGGGCATCCCTCTTTGGGATGCCCCCTTTTTATCAGAAACACCCCAAACTGTTTAACCGCGACCCTGTGTTTGGGATGCCTTCAAACACAACCCTGCGTTGAGGGCATCCCTGCTTAGGATGCCCTCAGAAACATCACGGGCCCTCAAGCAGAATACATCGGTGACGACTTCGGCCCTCGGCGCTCTCTCCCTCTCCTCCCTCAGCCGTCGCCGTCGCGCACGTCTGTTTGTGTTGTGGCTTTTTTGGGGTCCGCAGCTGCGCGGCGGCACTTCGCCCCAGTCGTAGGCGTGCTCCTTCGGCGGACCGTTTTCGGCTAGCCAAAAAACTCGTTTTGCGAGTTTCCGCGGCAGGCGGTTGGGGGCCCAGCTCTTGAAGCTGCCCCACCACCTCTTCCAGGCGCGCAGCTCAGAGGTGGCAGTGTTGTGTTTTCCCTCAAGCTCGTCGGCCTTCACCTCAGCGACGCGGAGCTTTTCCGTCAGCCTCTGGCTCTGCTGCGCCGGCTGGTCTCTCTCCCGCGTCACGGCTCTCAGGTTTGCCTCCGCCGTGCCCTTGTCGCGGTAGTGCCGGTTTGCCCGTCTCCTGACGCAACAGAAACACACACACACACACCGACAACATATGCAAGGCGGCGCGTCCTATTTTGCGTGC